TACTGCTGATCCATTTTTCTACTTCAATATGCTGATCCATTCTTCTACATCAAATACTGCTGATCCATTTTTTCTACTTCAATATGCTGATCCATTCTTCTACATCAAAATACTGCTGATCCATTTTTCTACTTTAATATGCTGATCCATTCTTCTACATCAAATACTGCTGATTCATTTTTTCTACTTCAATATGCTGATCCATTTTTCTACATCAAATACTGCTGATCCATTTTTCTACTTCGAATATGTGGATCCATTTTTTTACATCAAATACTGCTGATCGATTTTTTCCACTTAAATATGCTGATCAATTTTTCTACATCAAATACTACTGATCCATTTTTCTACTTTGAATATGCCGATCCATTTTTCTACACCAAATACTGCTGATCCATTTTTCTACTTTGAATATGCGGATCCATTTTTCTACACCAAATACTGCTGATCCGTTTTTCTACTTCAAGAATGCTTTTTCTGCTTCAAATACCGCTTATTCTTTTTTTCTACTTCAAATATGCTGCCTGATCTCTTTTTGTCTACTTCGAATACTGCTGATCTCTTTTTTTCTTCTTCAAATACTGTAGATCCATTTTTTTCTACTTCAAATATGCTAATTGGTTTTTCCACATCAAATACAGATGATCAATTTTTTCTTCTTCAAATACTGCTGTTCTTTTTTTTTTCTACTTTAATATTGCTGATCCATTTTTTCTTTTCTTCAAGTATAATTGCTGGTCCTTTTTTATGCTCTATAAAGTAGTCTCTTTTCCATCTGTCTGCATTTTAGTAGGTAGACCAGAAGCGCAGTGCACAAGAACCATAACTTTGCCTTGCCTAATTTTGGACTTATTGCCTTTTTTTTTCATTTTAATCTTTGAACTTTTTCCAGGCATAACTCTGAAACCTAAAGAGATATCAAGAAACTTTGTAGGTAGATAGATCTTATTAGTTAAAGTGAACTGCACAAGAACCATGACTCTGCCTTGGTTAATGTTAGAGTTAGTGCCCTTTATAATTTTTACACTTTGAACATTGTCTGGGACACAACTCAGAAACCACGAGAGGTATCAAAAAGAAACTTAGTAGATACATAGATCTCATTGAGTAGAAGAGCAGTGCACAAGAACCATAACTGTGCACATTATAACTTTTGAGTATTAACAGCCTTTGTCTTTTTCAGACCTAATTTTTGTCCATAGTGTAACTCCAACAGTATCAAAACTAGTATCTACTGACTTAAAACTTTGCAGACAGATAGATCTAATAGTGGAAAAGTGCAGTGCACAAGAACCATAACTCTGCCTCATAATTTTGAAGTTACTGCCCTTAAGTGTTAATACTTTTTTCACTGCATATTTAAAACAGTTTTAACCTTTTTCAGCAACTACCTATAACATAATAATACCTTGATGCTGAACTTGGTTAACACATTATGGACAAACTTAGTAACTTTTCTGTGTTCAAAACCTATTCGGGGAAAATCACCTGGTTGAACTGGCTCTTTTTTATTTTAATAACTGCTCATCATTTTTCTACCTCTATAACTGCAATACTTATATGTCTGGGGTTTTTTTCTTCATATAATATACTACTGTTTCATTTTTCGACATACTAGTATATTTTGACATGACATCATTTGCGTTACACAAATATGGTGCCTGTGATAAATAGAATATATTAAATTTGTGTAAGTTCATTACTGAATTTATTGAACTTGTTGAATAAAATAATATCATGCTCGCCAGAGGCTCACATAATATAATTTTATTCAACTTGTTCAATAAATTCAGTATTGAACTTGCACTCATTCAATAATTCCTCTATTACTTTCTAAAATAATGACTGCTTTTCCAATTTGCTACTCTAAAAGCTGCTTATTCAATAATTGATGATTCTACTTCTAAGACTTCAAGTGATGCATTTCTCTATCTGAAAGACTGCTTTAATATTTCATTTTCTTGCTAGAAGTTTGCTGATCATTGATTATCCAGCAGCTCTTCTATAAGTCAGACTGAGACTTCTATAAAGTATTCTAAAAATATTGTAAGGGTCTCTCCTACTTCTAGAATTGAGAAGCACAGAAATATTCTGGTTGGTATTAATGAAAAGGGGGATGGGAGATAACAAATACTCAAAAGGGAGGGGAAAAGTGCTGCATATAAGCCCAAAAAAATGTGGGCCCTGTAAACGTGCAGCCTTGGTTAAATTATTGTGATGCTGCAACAGTTGTTGCCTCAAGCAAAGGCTTAACCCTTCTTAACATAAACACTTTTTAGCTCACCTGTCACAAAGTGACAGGGTGAGCTTTTGTGATCGCTTTTCGTCCGGCGTCCGTCCGTCCGTCGTCCGTAAACTTTTGCTTTAAAAGACATCTCCTCATAAACCACTGAGCCAATTTCATCCAAACTTCACAGGAATGTTCCTTTGGTGGTCACCTTTAAAAATTGTTCAAAGAATTTAATTCCATGCAGAACTCTGGTTGCCATGGCAACCGAAAGAAAAATCTTTAAATATCTTCTTTTAAACAACCCTAAGAGCTAGAGCTTAGATATTTGGCATGAAACATCTTCTAATGAGTGTCTACCAAGTTTGTTCAAATAAAAGCCCTGGGGTCAAAATTGGCCCCGCCCCGGGGGGGTCATTGATTTTCCCTATATGCATATAGTAAAAACTTAAAAAATCTTCTTTTAAAGAACTGTAAGAGCTAGAGCTTAGATATTTAGCATGAAACATCTTCTAGTGAATGTCTACCAAGTTTGTTCAAATAAAAGCCCTGGGGTCAAAATTGGCCCCGCCCCAGGGGGTCATTGATATTCCTTATATGCATATAGTAAAAACTTATAAAATCTTCTTTTAAAGAACCCAAAGAGCTAGAGCTAAGATATTTAGCATGAGACATGTTCTAATGGGTGTCTACCAAGTATGTTCAAATAAAAGCCCTGGGGTCAAAACTGGCCCCGCCCCGGGGGTCATTGATTTTCCTTATATACATAGCAAAAACTTAAAAATCTTCTTTGAAAAAACCCAAATAACTAGAGTTTAGATATTAAGCATGAAACATCTTTAAGTAAATATCTACAAAGTTTGTTCAAATAAAAGCCCAGGGGTCAAAACTGGCCCTGCCCGAGGGGTGTCATTGTTTTTTACTCTATGTGTATAGTAAAAACTTAAAAAATCTTCTTTTAAAAAACCCAATGAGCTAGAACTTAGATGTTTTGCATGAAACAACTTCCTATGGGTGTCTACCAAGTCTGTTCAAATAAACAAATAAAAGCCCTTGGGTAAAAATTGGGCCGGGGGGGGGGGGGGTTGGGCTATATACAGGTGAGCGACCTCAGGGCCATCATGGCCCTCTTGTTCATTGTTCACTTTAAACAAAAAAGCAGAAATATACCTATAGATGGCTTTTATCAAGGGTTTGTGGCAAGATCACAATCTCTATAAATACTGCGTTGAAAGTAAAATGGCCAGAGACACTTCCTTAGTCATTCATACCACTATTCACTACCAATTATAAATAGTCAAACTATCTAAACGGCCTCCAACCTCCCCTTATAGCCGTCCGTACCACCCTTTACTACTAAAACTTAAAGAATATAAAAAAAACTCTATCTAAATGGTATCTGACCACCCTACACATCTGACATACTATCAGTACCTCTAGAATATATATAACACTAACTAAAACGGCCTCCAACCTCCCCTTATAGCCGTCCGTACCACCCTTTACTACTAACAGAATATAATAATACTATCTAAATGGTATCTGACCTCCTTAAAAGCTGTTCACATAGTACTTAAGTACCTTTAGAATATGTAACTAAACACTAACTAAACGGCCTCCAACCTCCCCTTACAGCCGCCCGTACCACCCTTTACTACCTATAGACCATAAATTTACACTATCTAAAATAACCTCAGACCACCCCTTACCTACAAGGTCTCAAATCTCTCATACCACCCTTTACTTCCTACTGACAAGTCAAAGATTAGAACTGCCTGTATCACCCTGCACTAATTAATACCTAAATTATTGTACTTGACAACTGACCTCTTATCTACCTTTAATATAAATCTACATTTTTTTTTGTATTTTTAAAAATTTTGTTCTTTTTTTATTTTGTTTTTCAAAAATTTTAATATTTTTTTTTTGTATTTTTTAAATCTTTTTAAATTCTAATATCTACCAAATGCTGTAGCTAATATCTACTATTTAAACCAATGAATTCAATAAACCCAAAATGTTTAAAAAATTTGAAAATTCATATTTAAATTAATTTTAATAATGTCTTCAAATGAAGTTTACTAAGTTTAGAAAGGGATTTAACTCTAAGAAAAATGAAAGAAGACTAATGGCTCTTAGATCTTACTTAAAAAAAAATAGCAAGGTGCCTTAAATAATATCTTAAAAAGTCAGTGAAAAGCAAAAAAGAATATAGCAACGTGTGCAAAGATAAAAATTCATTATTGTTTTTACCATAAACCATTTTTACCATTCTGTTTCTACTTGAAGCAGACTGTCTACATAAAACCACTTATCCCCTTACTATACTACAGTGGGTATGAATCCTAACAGGGGCTAAGTTTTCATTCATGTGTGGCAGCTATCCACATGGGGTGCACCTGGGTGGGCACTGAGACATGTTTTCCTCAACAATAAAGCTTGAAAGGATCTATATGTACTTTACAAACCAAATCAATCAATCATGTTAAAAACGAAAAATGCCACTTTGATTACTTATAAAACAGTTCATAAGGGACGCATCAAGGTTTGCTGAAGTTAGTATTTTCAGGTTAAGTGGTTGCAACTTAAATAAATAATACTTAGATAAAAAAGTTTGATCCCAATCTTTTAAAATAAGCCAAAATATAGCTGGATACATAGATAAAATTTCAGAAAACTGGTGAAATTAATAACTGAAGGGTTATTGACAACATTATTGGATAAAAACTTATTAGAAAACAAAACTAACTACCCTACACCCCCTACAGCATTACTACACTACAGTAACTAACTAGTAAAAATACCTCCCAAAGTTGGGATGACTTGGGTTGACATGGATGGCAGACCGTTTTGCAGCAGGGTACCAATCTGTATCATTGTCCCTACCACGCTTGCGGCTCACTGAAATATATAGTAACTTTTGTTAAATTCAATGAAATGTTAATACATTATAACTACTACAACAATTATAAATTCACTTCAATCTAGTAAAGGCCATTATACTTCACATATGGCATAAGAATTATAATTTGTTGTTTTGGTAAGAGTTTTATACCTGAAAAAAGATGGAAATATTAAATAAAATATAAAAATATATGGAATGCATCATTTTCAAATGAAGTGAGAAAATAAAAATAATTTATCCATCTGACACTGGTGAAGTTCTGAAATAAAATATAAACAGTCATGATAATATGATTGAGATGAGCACCTTTCTTACTGCTGTCCTTGCTATTTTTAGACAGCAGGAGACTGAAGTCAAAATGCTCTTCAGCCTCAAGACGCCATTCCTCCATCTGCCAGATCATCTCATGTGTGAGGCTGGTAAAACAATAATTTAAATGTTAAGTATAAATCTAAGTTTAACAATGATCAATAAAAACAGTCATGACATGAGTGTGACAACAGGCCCTTTTCTGAAAATCTTTATTTGGAAAAAAAATATGATTAAATTGATATCTAAAATACATTTTTTCCCAACCCTGCTTTTTGTCAGCTGTAAATTAATATAGTAAAATTTTGCACTGTTTAAATAAAGAAAATATAATTCATTTTCATTTTTTTCTATAGCTATGTTTTCCATCTTTTTGAAGATTAACATGGAAAAAGGACCTATTGTCATAAATAATTTCCTTATTATTATATTATTATTATTACAATATAATTAGCAAATACACAAATCACTGTTAATTAAAAAAGGAGAGACTGTTAATCTGTTATTATTTAATAGAACAAAATGTTACAGTCTAAAAATATCTAATTATGGGTACAATTTTAATTATTTTTCATTCAAAGAAATTGTATAAAGTACTTACTGTGTACCAAATAGCTCAGAGAATTCTGGTTCGTTGAGCTGATCAAGTACTAGAGGCACTTCCTCTCTTGGAGGTGTTGATGTCCGGTCTATCTTGATGACCGAAGAACTAGTACCACTACCACTAGGTCTATTATCCCTAGACCAATGGGGACTAGGGGTCCTAGACCTTTTGGAATAGCACTTGTCCCTGGCACATCTAGATCTAGACCTGGGACTAGGAGCCCTACATCTATTGGAATGGCACTTGTCCCTGGTACATCCAGATCTCGACCGGGACCTGGGACGCCTAGACCTAGATCTAGAACGTCTTCTTTGTCTGAAAATACAAATGTATATTAAAATTAAAGAAATGAAATGAAAAAAAAAATCAAATGAAAAAAAAAATTAATGTTAACACAATGTCAAAATATCTGTCCAACAAGAATTGTTGATACTGGATCTACAAAGATGATCATCCAGTGATTTTTTAAAACTTTTTTTCACAGCAATCTGTACCTCTGAAATTGGGAATTTTTAGCGTGCTTATCTGTCAAATTGTGAAATAATATACAAGAATAAATCATCACCTGTAATCACTTAATTCATACAGTTAATAATTATGTTCATAGGTTAAGCTTTCTTCTTTTTATTCCCTCAAATATATTAATCAAATTCTCAAGATTGTCATGTGTCAGTTCCTGATTTTTTTGGTGCTGAAAAGCAATCCTGCTAATTGTGAATTTTTTAACACATTTTTGTGATTTTTTTATGCTTTTTGGCATTGTGAGGAGGCCTTATTTCGGGTTCAAACTCAGCCAAAAAAAATCACTGTGATCTGATCTGTATTTGAATTCAAATTAAGAAAAGTATAAATAACTTATTATACACAGCAATTTTCTTGAGCATTCAAACCAACAAATATCAATTTTAGTCACTGAAAAAACAGTGTTTAGCTAAATATATAGAATTCTTAATTTATTTTCCATTACTACAGTAAAATCTTAGGATTGAAAGAATTTAGTTAAGTGGACCTCTGAACTAAATGACTGTTTGTGCATTTTAATAACTATGCTGTTATTCTGAATTTAGTTCAAATTTATTGAAGTTTTGAATATAAACATGTAAAAAAAGCAGGGTTGAGAGGAAAGCGAGTGTGCTAAATTGCAAATATTTTAATTTGTTTACCCACTAAACTAGATGTTATCCTTGTTTATGGCCACATTAATTCTGTCCAGGTTTTAAACTTGCATGCCTGACAGATGAGCCAAAACATTTCAAGAAAATTAAAGTTGAGAAAAATGAACTTAGATTTTAAGATTAAGAAAAGTAAAAAGATTATGTAATAATTTACATGTTATTTGCAATTAAGGACAGTCTGATTTTGCAGTATTTATCACCTTATTTTTACTGCACATTATTAACACAGTAGGAAGCTCTATTTTTTCCTTCAATATTTTGATGTCTCTTTAGTAATTTAGTGGATTGCTGGTGCTGCTTGCTATGTGAAAATTATTTTCTTTGACTTTGTTTATTTCACAATACTATTTTAATTTTAAAAACATTATCTTTTTATGAAAATTAGCATTAATCTGAAGTCTTATTGCTTTAACCTTTAAAGTGGCAGGAATTACAAAACAAAAGAAGAACAACAACAACAACAAAAAACCTGCACATGGATTGCATAATACAAAGAAATTGTCAACATCTCAAAAAAGCACATGATCATCTGATAGTCTACTACAAAACAATTGGGAAAGAATAACTATCGAGTTTTTTACATCATATAAAAATTGTGAAGAGTTAATTTAAGCTAGATTCATAGTAAAATAGAATTCAGTGTTAGCGATTTTCCCTAACTTTACTGAGTACCTGGGACTCAGTGCTAATAGATCTGTTACGTCCCAATTCAAATGGAACGAGTCCTCAATTACAAAAATGTCAATGTTTGCATAACTTCATAATACAATCAAATTTGTGACTGTTGATGTTCGCGGATACCATTGATAGGTTGGCCCAAAACGAGGCCGAGCACTTGCTCCTAGTCTACGTTTGGGATATAAATCTGCATTGCTAATGAGAAAGGAACAAATGAAAATGAGGTGAAAGTCAAGTTCTTATAATACAATTTATTTAAAGTGAATAGAAAATCATTTTCAAGCAGAGCAAAAAAACTTAAGAGAGAATTGACCAATTATCGGGGAAAAAGTGTTTCGTCCCAGGGACTCAACAGCCCTTTTTTCTTTCCTCCCTGGCAATTTTAGCGAGTAAATTGATATGTTTACTCAGTAAACGCGAACACTGCTTAGAATCTACATGCAAATATCAAATATTTGTGCGGCCATTACTCGTATCTAAGGAGCGGATTCTGCGCATGAAATCTAACCAATCAAAACATAGATTTCAAATACAATGGCGGACTTAGAGAAAATAGTCCCCCGCAAATGAATTAATGTATCGGTTTCCATGCACGAAAATCGTCTTTTCGTAAGTTTCCATCACTCAAAAATTATCTTAATAAAAAATATTTTTTCGATGTAAAGATATTTGATCATTATGTGATATGTCTACTGTAACCATCAACGGAAAAACCACAATCTATAAATAGAACAAGTCGCGGTTGCTATGTCAAGTCTCAAGAGTAAGAAAAATGTTTGCAGCAGAATCAAATCAACCCGATTTTGCTGTTCATTTCCAATCCAATTTAATCTTAGAAATATTTTTCTTTCTTTTATTATAGCTTTGTCGTGTTTTAAATAAAACTTATTGTGAACAATGCATTTTTCGGAAGAATTTTAGGCTTGCCTAGAATCTAGATTTAAGTTTTTTTCGGCGGCATTTTTAAAACTTACTATTTTGTTTACCGAAACTGTATCGATATTAAACGGCACCAATTTAACAACATAAAGGTTTTGGAAATAAAATTAAACAATGGAAATATTGTACAATTTATTATTTTCTGGTCATTGTGTATCAAGTTTCAGTAAACCTTACCCCGCCCACTATGATGTAGCAGCAGACTGTAATCGCGATTTAAATATCGAAAAATTACTTAAATGAAACTGAAATAACAGTAACAGTATAGCGTAGGTAAAAAATATAATATTTATGCGTTAATTCAAATGTCCAAAATGCTAAAACACTTACGAATAGTATGAAGATTGTCTTTCTCTGTCAGAGCGCATATTTTCAATGTTAACTTTGACTGCAGATGTATGAATCTGAACGTGCCAGCCTGACAACAATGCTCTTTATATATGGTATCCAGGGGGTAGGTCGACCAATCAGTGCCGACTATCCAGTCGACCAATCAGAAACTAGCATTCAAAATTTCGCGGGCACCAAACTTGTGTTTTTTAATTGCATTAAAACACGATTTCTAAAATAACTACGCATCGGAGTTGAGTTCTGTTTTTGACAATTAGTTACTGTACAGTTACGCAATATCTTAAAACATTTCTACCACGATGTTCATTGATACGTGAATTTTCTGGGTAATTTTCTGTGCATATTCAGTCATAAATTTTGAAATTATGAATAAAAGAAGCTTCTATTTTTGATAATATGTAATTGAATGCACTTATTCAGGAATAAAAAGAAGTAACAAGCAGAACTTCCGATGACAATCATTTAATGCACTGCAAAAACAATTTAAAATTCATATTTCAATGAAAAAAATGTCTAGTTAAAACACAGCTGTTGCGTCTCATTTGTTGTGCATGATATGACTTCACGCAATGATGCTTTTTGCAATGTCTTATGTGATTTGACAGTCAAAACGCATAAATATTTCTATTTTAATTGTAGATTTTTAAATAAAAATAGATTAAACACGAAACAGTGCAAAACTTAAAATGTTACATGTTTCGGTTTGATATAGATCTAGTTAAAAGTTCTCAGCCTGTTCACGGATTGCCGAGCAGGTTTAAAGGCCTATGGTACGCGGGTATCAGGTGACCATCCATGTGCCTAGCCTATTGCCGAAGGCCTATTGCCGTATAAAGGGAATCATCCAGACTATTGCATTGTCTAATTTGCCATGAAAATAAAATATAAGGTTAGATAAGGTAAGTCTACCTAGACTCCGGAAAATTGTGCTGTTTAGGAGAATTCGCAGAGTAAATATACATTTGCAATATACAAAGAAGGACCAAGATCCGGCATCAAGTAATACCAATGAACAAAAGGGCATCTGGAAAGCTGTTTTAAATTTTGAATTCATCTCATTTTTTATTGTCAAGTTCAGCGAATTTCAAAAGAAATTGATGGTATAATGGTGATATTACTAACAGGGTCTCTTGATTCTTGTGCCCAAACCATGGGGGCAAGGGGCGCCCCAAGCCATTGCACTGTTTCATTCAAGAATATTAGACCGATAGAGGCACCATTTTTTCCCAAAAATGTTTTGCTATTTACAAAATTAGAAAGTTTAATTTTTTTTTTAAGGAAAGATCAAATTTCTATCCGACAACTAATACTCCATGCTGGATTTAACAGAGGCTATGTTTCTACCAAATTAAGTCTAAATTGGCAGAAACAAGTACCTTCCTAAAAAAATTTTTTAAGTAACCAGTACTATATTATTTGGCAACGATATCGAAAAATAACGCGTGGGTCTCGGTGGATTTTCAGAAAATGGTGTTTTTCATGAAAATCGTATTTTATATCCAGAAGGAAAAATAATACGATGGCTTAAAAGAGCGTGATACGAAGACATCTAATGTAGATTCATTCCAAATTTCTAGTTCTCCGTATTAGGTTTTTAATACCTTATTGTCTCTACTCATACAATTTTGGATATATATTGTGTAGATTAACCCTCGGGAAAGGCTTTGATGATGAGGTACAGATTTTCTTGCCATACACTCTTCCTATGAGACAATAGAAGCTTGGCACAAGCTGACCCGGAACTAATCCAAAGTTAGGTTATATATCACCAAGTTAAATTAATTCAGACTATTTCAAACTTCATGCCTATGCCTAAACTTAAAATAAGAATGTTCCAGAATAACTATGTCAGCTCAATTCTTAAAGAAGTATTTTTTCCAGAAACAGGGCTGTTTTCCGGGAAACCAAAAATATATGTGTCACATGAGAATACAAAATTTTGGGAAAAAAAATGGTCCAAACCCAAAATTTTTTTGACTGAGAGGCAACAGGGACCAAACCGATTTCCCGGAGGTTTATAATAACACCCTTGGGGCCCGATGAACCAAAAATTTTATTAGCCCCTTTTCCCCAGTAAGAGCCAGACCATCACCATTTGTGCAGTCGGCCAAACTCCCCAAAACTGTTTGTATTTTTTAACCCGTTTATATATATTGTAAAACTAAAAATGTGAATGGACCCGTTCCATATTTAAAAAAAACAAATCCAATACACATATAAAAGCAGGAAAAGGGGGGTTACCCGGAAAAGCCCACACAGCCCTACTGAAATTACATACAATTATCTCCCAAAAAGAAAAAAAAAACATTGATCATTCACAAAAAAGTTTTTAAATTTTTTGGGGACCAAACTTTTTTCCAAATTTAGTAAAACAGATATTTAGCAACTAAGCTATTGAATTTGTACAATTTTCACTTTAAAAAAAAAAGGCTTATTAAACAATTGCTGCAAAAGACAGAAATAAATTATTAAGCAAACTGAAAAAAAACTTTGACATAACATAACAATCAATAAACCCTGTTAACTGAATTTTATTCTTAAAGAAAATAATGTTACTAAATATAGTACATGTAAAAAAATTTAGTTTTGCACTTATATATAATTTGAACAAATGTTAACTTAATAATACTACTGTTAAAGTAATACAGTTTTAAGTGTTGGTAAATTTCATATTGACTACCCAATAAAAAAAGCTAATTAATTTTCATTACACATCCAGGTCAGTGAATTAACCTTGCAAAACTGTATCAAAAATAGTCTATTAAAACAGAATCTTTGAAATAGAATTTATCTAAAAGATCCTGATTAAAAATAGTCTAGGAAATGCCACAACCAAGGAAACGTTTTTCATGCTGTATGCTGAATTGGACTGAATTAAATATTATTATCAACATAATGTTGTTATCACTCCTAACAGAGTTAAAGCTGCACACCTCCAGATGAGCAAAAATATTTTGATAAAATCAAACCTGTGAAAAATGTACTAAGATTTTAGTGAAAGCATAAAGATTCAAAATTCTAGTAAAAATTTACATGTGATTAATGACAGAATTTTTCAGTATTTGTAACTATATTTCTACTTCAAATTTGTTAAAAACAATATGGAAAATAAACAGGTAGTGAATGGAGTCAAAATTCATGTCTATTTTAAGGGACTACTTTAAGATGTTGTTTTTTCCCACCGACAGTAAAAAGCTTCAATTTTCTATTTTCTTATCATAAGTAATGATAGCTAGAACTGCCACTATCATGGTGTGAATACCCCCGCATACCACTTTGTCAGAATCAACAGTGGCCATTTAGAGCTCAAGGACAACCTCCCTGCCAAATCTAAGCTTACTTAGCCAGTGCATTGCTAAGTTATGTATTCTACATGCTTCAAATGTGAAAATGTCAAAATCAATACATTGCGGACAGGACATTCTTTAGCAATTGAGAAGAAAAGCTTTTTTTTGTCAAGGTCCCTGTGACCTTGACCTTTGATCCTGTGACCTCAAAATCAAAAGGGGTCATCTACTAATCACGATCAACATCCATGTCAAATATGAAGACTGTGGGTCAAAGGAATCTAAAGTTATTGGGCAGACAAAGTTTTTGAAGTCAAAGTCCCTGTGACCTTGACCTTTGACCTGGTGACCTCAAAATCAATAGGGGTCATCTACTAATCATGACTAACCTCCATGCCAAATCTGACGACTGTAGGTCAAAGGAATCTTAAGATAATGGGTGGACAAGCTTTTTGAAGTCAAGGCCCCTGTGACCTTGACCTTTGACCTGGTGACCTCAAAATCAATAGGGGTCATCTACTGATCATGACTAACCTCCATGCCAAATATGAAGACTAAGGGTCAAAGGAATCTTAAGTTATTGGGCGGACAAGCTTTTTGAAGTCAAGGCCCCTGTGACCTTGACCTTTGACCTAGTGACCTCAAAATCAAAAGGGGTCATCTACTAATCATGACTAATCTTCATGCCAAATATGAAGACTAAGGGTCAAAGGAATCTTAAGTTATTGGGCTGACAAGCTTTTTGAAGTCAAGGCCCCTGTGACCTTGACCTTTGACCTAGTGACCTCAAAATCAATAGGGGTCATCTACTAATCATGACTAACCTCCATGCCAAATATGAAGACTAAGGGTCAAAGGAATCTTAAGTTATTGGGCGGACAAGCTTTTTGAAGTCAAGGCCCCTGTGACCTTGACCTTTGACCTAGTGACCTCAAAATCAATAGGGGTCATCTACTAATCATGACTAACCTCCATGCCAAATATGAAGACTAAGGGTCAAAGGAATCTTAAGTTATTGGGCGGACAAGAAAAAACCGCCGTCCGTCCGAAATGGAATAAGGGGCCATTTCTTTTGTTATTTTCTATTGTTTAATAGAGGGCCGATGGCCCCTTACTCTATTGTTACGGAATGAACTCTATTGTTCTCTTTTGTTCTGTTTACAGTTAGATGGCCCCCTATCTCTTTTCGGTAGTGCGGACAGCCGGACGGACGGACAAGCTGATTCCAGTATACCCCCCTTACAACTTTGTTGTACAGGGGGAAATAATTATGTCAATACAGTCTATAGCAAAAATAATAGTTTTTAGTTTATTTGATTACTATTTGAAACATTTTCAGATCTTTTTTACTTTTTCATGAAAATAAGTATATACCTGGAGATGTGCTTATCAGCTATAGTTTTGGAATTTAAATTCACATAAAACAAACATTTTTATAAAATATGCTTAGGTCAACAACTTTCTATTAGCATGAACTATCACATCAACCTAAAAAGCATTTTTTTTCTAAAGAATAAAACAAAAAAAAGACAAAAATATAAGCAGAAATTTCAGTTACAATTGAAGACCTCGGGATAACATTGTAAATCTACCAAATATGCACACAGAACTTAATAATATATAACTTGTGTAGATAATTCAAACTGTAACAAGAAAATGCAAAATTCTGAATTTAATCATTTGTAAAAAGTACACCTGTTCACCTGACAAAACACACAAAATTAAAGCCATTTTCAAACAAGGTCAATATACACTATTGCAAAGATCACTGCCAATAAAAATAAACTTTACCTAAATTTAACTAAACAAAGTCTATACATTTTATTTCATTCAAAAAGCACTATCTTTTACTCTATCTTTCAATAACAATTTTGACTAAAAAACCTCCGCCCTAACTTATAATAATCCCAATATATCAAGATTTTCTTTTATAAAACACACTTGCATCTTTCTCACATTGTTTCATAAAAAAATAAAATCACATTAAATATTACTTGTGAAAATATGACCATAAAGGTCAAGGTAATTTAGAGGTCAAGGTCAAATTACAATTTCATTAACAGGTAATTTTCATAGTGTCTACAATATCTTCAATTAGTAAAACATATAAAACGTTGACATCACATTTGATAAGTGTCAAACAAATGTAATAAATAATTTTACCTCATTTTCAAGAACAAATTTTGTGCACAATATACAGCATTTAAGTTAAATTTGAAGGGAACGCCATAACATGGCATTTATTTTGCCGATAAGGCATTAAATTTTATTTGCCAACTGTTGATACATAACAACATTCACAAAATCAAAATTACTACTCAAATCAGCAAATTCTGTGTTTCAAATACTAATTGGTGCTTGACAGTAAAGATAGCATATAAAACATGTTTAACTGACATTGGAAGTTTTCAAACACAACAAACTTACTAAACAAGTATAATGAATGAACCCTGAAGTGGCTTTTACAAAGCTAATCGTACTTCAGTCATGAAGGTTAATTTCTGAGCAATATCTCTTGACATTCCATTAGTTAGCCTGGAAGCTCTCTCACTAGACAGAATGTAAGTCCCTGGTTGAATCAAACGGAAACCCAAAGTTGCAAGAAACAAATGATATGAAGCAAGCAACCTTAAATACTCAGCTTTTGGGATCATGTAAACATCAATTAATAATTGAAAGTACTATAAGAAACAGTGGCACTGAAATACAGTCCTGGCAAACTTGTCTAAATCAAATAAATTTCGAGGACTGTAAAAGTTAGTTGGTTCTTCACTCTCTCTCTGTAATAAAATTTGAAATTTTTACCTGCACACAAACTTGCAAAGAATCACAGTTTATTCAATAACAATACATTTCTAATACTTTAACCAACCTTTGGCCATAAAATAAACTTGCATTAACAATTTCAATGATGACTGCAAATTACAACAAGAACAAATATTACTTATCAATAAAATCTGAAACTATTTCAAACAAAATGACTTGGAAACTCTTTCATGCTTATATTATCTCTTATCAGTCTCTTAAAACCTGCCAAAAATTGTACTGCGAGGATGCAAAAAAAAGTTGCACTTAACTATAAACCTGTTGGAACTAAATAATAATAGAAGCTGGACTAGTCACATGTTATACGTATAACATTAAAGTTTTTTAGGTTAAGTGTTAAATGAGTAATAAACATAGTACCCATCAAAGCAAGAGCAATAGACTTTTTCATATAGACATATTTTTAACGTAGTCTTACTGCAAAGCTTTCCCGACAAAAAATTTCTAAAATCGGCCAATATCGTAATAAATCGGTCATTTGTGGAACAATATTTTTCACAAAAATCCTCAGTATTCAATAATCTTTAACTGTTTATTACCAGAATTTAGTATACAGCGATAAAGGATGAATGATTGTAAATAATCTTACGCCAAAGATTTTGAAAAAATAACATTCCGGAAATAAATGATTTGCTACGATATTGAACGATGTTAAAATAAACACAAAGCTGGTCAGATTTCACTTGTGACAATATAAAAAAGTTCACAGAACTAGAGGCACACACATGTATTAGTTTTCTATAATTAAAGGCTATATATTTCTTTTGCTTGGTAATTTCGTGCACCGTATCACTTATAAAAGAAAATCTTAATAACATCATAAATTGAAATTATGCTTAAACTGTTTCTGCCTTGTTTGTGCCTAAGACACTGTTGAAAAATACTGAACATCAGAAAATAGATAAAGTATACAATGTATTTGATTAAAAGATAAAATTAATTATTTATTAAAAGATGCAATTAGGGTAATCAAGTATGATTAAAAGTTTGTTTTAAAAGCAAATTTCTTTTTCATCTGTTTCCAGCGCAACCTTTAACACATATTATATTAACCCCATCATTTCCATATAAACATATCACATATTTTTTTCTGTCTGTCATGTAATAAATACAAAAGAAATAGTCTTACAAAGAGCAAATCAGTATCAATCGATCTTCCTCTAACAGAACAATTTATTAATTTTCTCACGCTCAAAAACCTTCATTTTCATGCAAACTTTTCTATGTCTCAATAGTTCTATAAATAGTAACATCAAGCAGAAGAAGTTTTTCACAGATCTCCAAGAATCATCACAGTATCAATCTGTTTTCCTTCTGTTGAGAGTACACACACAAAGGGGAATAACTCTATTGGAATATCAGCTCACAAGGGAGGCTGGGTAGAAAGTGGCCATATTGTTTCATGGTTATAAGAATCATGTGGCGGAGCTCCACTTCATAAAGGCTGGTAAATCTTTTACGGGCACATTATGCGTGTGAGCTTTCAGTCGCAGGTTGCGGTCCTCGGTGAGCAACACAACTTCCCTGTGAAGGCGTACTGGAGCATCTGAAACATAAACTTCATGGTCATTTCTCACCAGTATTTCATTATTGACAGGATGCAGTGAAAAAGCTAATGAGTGACTAACAAAATGCCTCAGTGAATCAATACAGCTTACAGCAACTTAGCAAAAGCCTCCTGGAATAAATCTTGAGACTTATTGCTGCATGCAACTTCTTATAAAACCCTGTATTGTAAAGGACAACATTAAATAAACATGCCTAATATTTTTCTTTGTTTTTTTTTCTTCCATATTACATACATGCTTATTAAAGGGTATAAATCTATATCTTATGAGATATTAATAAAATTTATCAACAGTAAAATTATATTGGTTCCATTATTATATGGTTGATTCCTGAAAAAGTTGTAACATAGAATGTCTCTGTTATTTAACACACATTAAATTCTATAACGTAAATAGAATAAAATGTTCCAGAACAAAATATCATTTTGCTATTTTAAGTAAGGTTTTATCCATTTAGCAATGATTTTGTGCATGTGCCATTCACTTTTAAGGCAATAAATTACCATATTTATTTCATACAAGCATTTTGGAAACTTTTGTTAAAATTCAATCAATAATTTTTGCATCAGATATATAGCTTTATACACTTTATAGAAATGACATTCAGATACTTTTGTAATTACCAGTTATGAGGTTACACTGAAAAGGCCATATGCACTCAACTACTGTAAAATCATTATTATTCGTGGGGCACGAATTTTCGTGGTTTTCGTGGGTAGGTAAATCCACGAATTTAAGATCCGACGAACTTTTATCCCAACAAATACTTCTTACACTGTCTCTGTTATATATATTACAAACATGCGTCGGCTCTTTTCCGGCTGATATTTCGTGAAATGTACAGACAGATAACCAGGTTAGTGACATCAGGGCTGCAGATAACATGCGTATTTGCGTAATTACCCAATTAAAATGTCAAAAAAAGCAATAGAAATAATAACTAAGGGTAAGAAAAAGTAAATAAATTCTTATTTATGCAAACTACATTGGAACTTGTGGGTAAAGACATAAGTTATACTTAATGCTGTACATCAGGCAGATCTTACTGTTTCAGACTGTTTTAACCTTTAAATCATATCAGGCAGCTTGGAAATCTCCTAGGCCAATAAACCATAAAGCATAGTAGTAAGTAGCTTTTTTAATACCATACAAAACCTACAACAGTCTACAATGAAGGTCAGAAATTTTGGGTAAAATACATGAACATTTGCTTAAAACCCAAATTTGTTAGAGTGGGTAGGGTAAAAAATACAGAAATAACTCTAAGAAAATATAAAAAAACCCAATAGATCACAAAACAAGGGGTAATCACCCAATATACACAAAATGTTATCTGTAGCCCTGTGACATATTAAATCCGTTTACAATATTTAAGAAACGTGAAAGAAAACTAGATTATATGTGCTCAATTTACTGTCACAAATGTCGCATATACATACTTGATCGTTGTAGTCTACTAGGACTTGATTGTGTTAACAAGAATACTTGACATAATCAAGTTAATATGGGAACCCAGGCAGTGCAATAATTAGCGCTAATAAAAATTGTCAGTTTGCTCTTATTAATTTAAAAAAAAGTCTTTGATATTAATGTCGTAAGTACACAAAACTATAGAAAATACGATTGCTAAAACAGATTTATATTACTTTCTTTCGTTGTTTTTAAATGATCCAGTTTATATGAATTTTAATCAGTATTTGTGCGATTGCTATTTGTAAACATCAAAGACACCATCGACTTTTACAAGATCCACATAAACTTACTGAGAATAATTTATATGCATGTAAATTTACACAGTCGCTGTGACGTTGCGTGTAGTTACTGTCAAATATGTTAAGTGTAAACTTTTAAACTCGCTGGTTAAAATGTGCCAGGTGTTGTATAAATTATGCAATGTTTACATCGGCGAATTACAGGGGCAGTGTGTGCAATGGAGGTGCATATCATGTCACAAAAATGTGTTAATTGCAGTTAATTAATGGCAGTAACTGTGCAGTATTAGAGTTATACCCAGAGGCAAGGATTTAATTAATTGACAACTGCTATGTGACAAGTAAAGATATGTACATGTTGTAAGTAAAAATGGTCGGCGATTAAGATTACTTTGCATTAGGTTACTGATTTTTTTTTTTTACAAGAAAACGAAAATCCACGAATTTAAGAACCCACGAAAATGCCCGTTTTGATAAAACCACGAACTTTCATGCCCCTTATATAAGTGAATTTGCAGTATCCAATATAGAATTTATTGGAAACCAATGAGTTCACCAAAGGAAATATAATATTGGTCAGTGTTTGTTGGATCTTAAATTTGTGACTTGACATATCCACCAAAGCCATGAAAATGAGTGCACAACAAATAATAATAATGATTTTACAGTATAACATGAAGGCAGCTCACCTTTATCTTTGGGCATGTAATCCCTGGCTATATCTTTACAGTAATAGGTACAGCAGGATAATATGAGATCATCATTGTTTCCCTGTAAATATATCATAATATAGTGGCAGATACCATATTTCATTCAATCAGACACACAAATTTGTTCCGATGACATTTAAACTTGAATAAACATTGCTTTCACATTTAAATTTCTAATTATGAAATAAGTTATTATTTTGAGTGTGCTGTTGTAGAATAAGACATGGTTCAAGTTCCAACGGGAGACAGACAAAACCCCACCAGTTAAAACCCCACCACTCAAAATTTTATAGAGTGGACAAAACCCCACCACTAAATTTTATAGAGTGGACAAAACCCCACCAATAAATTTTACAGAGTGGACAAAACCCCACCACTTCACATCCAAATCCCTAAAGAACAAAACATGATAATTATAGCATATAGCATTTATTTCAATAGCAATATAATACAATGAATGAGATTATACAAACAATTTACAAACTGTTAAATCAACATCAAAGAGTTGTCATTTATTTGAGACTGTGCCACATTTATGACCTTGGATTATCCATTATTATTAGTTTCTTCAAATTCATTTCTTCAATTTATTTATATAAAAAATAAACTACTTACTATTAATCAAGAATATAGCACATTTCATTAATTAATGATTAAAAATAGCACATTTCTAGCTTATTCAGTTGAGTCTATTTTCCTTCATTGTACTTAGTTTAAGCGGATACAGTGGCCAATAGCCTGAAGAAACTCAGGTACAGTTTTCTCCTTATTGATGTTTTGTTCACACATTCTTTTGAGTTTCTGCTGATGCAAAATTGTTTGTTTTTTAACATGTTTACAAGAAAGTTTTGTCCACTCTATAAAACTGAAGTGGTGGGGTTTTGTCCACTCTGTAAAATTTAGTGGTGGGGTTTTGTCCACTCTATAAAATTTAGTGATGGGGTTTTGTCCACTCTATAAAATTTTGAGTGGTGGGGTTTTAACTGATGGGGTTTTGTCCTACATTCAGTTCCAACAAGTAGTGTTATACAATCGTGAAGACTGGTAAGCCAAAATGATTAAATACATTGAAGCTTTTGAATGATACACCGAAGCATTATATATATATATATTTCCATTCTAACTTGCTAATTGAGAGAAAATTGACAAAAATATTTTGAACTAAATTAATTATTGTGCTCTCCTTGATTTACCAGATAAATAAATGCTACTCTAAGACTGAGATTTTAACAATAACACAAGACACTCCCTAACTGCATAGGCTTAGCACCATAAATAATGATGATGCTCCATAATAGTAAAACAGCAAAAGCATCATTTCTTACATCAGAGCTACTTACACTAGAATCAGTTTCCTCACTACGGAATGATATGGTTTCCATGACAGTGCCTTTTGAAGTTAGCGCTTTCAGGTGGGAATTTTTCTTTTCAAATTCTTTCTCCAGCATTTCTATAGTGTTAGCAGCACGATGTTTAACTTTGTTCGCATGATCTTCATTATCATACTGGCCTTTCATCCTCTGACCCTGAGCTAGGCCGTCTAGTTCGTTGATGACTGAAATATATAAACATTACCTTTATTTGACAGAAGAATAGTGTTTAGGCAGTATCTAAATCAATAGCGAGCTTTTCATTGTCATTTGGATGAGACTGTGAAATTACAGCCATACATTGGTTAGTTATCAAAACTAAGGTTTTAGTTAACAGTAAGGCATTACACAGTCTTAAGTTTTGTACAAAACACTTAACAGTCATATTTTTTTGAATGAGTATGAATAACAACTGTCTTGCACAAAATTTCTCAAAATCATGATTGTTTGCAAAAATGCAATAACTTTGTGTAGTCAAATGCAGGTGTATTATTCTTATACAGGTATTCATTCACACCATTCAATAAAATAAAATAGAAGTACATGTATTCAAAATTTTAGACTAACATATAAAACTTCAGATTACAAATTTATTCAGGATAATTACATGTATATGCGAATATTAATGAAAATTATCTACAGTGAATAAAACCAGTTCTAGAGTTTTTTAAGACAGAAACCAGAGCTGGTTCACATTTCTCACAACAAAGCCAAGGAGCTACAGTTACAATTTATAATACTGTATCAACTTGTTAATGATCAAACTGGCAACTACCAGCATATGATGTGGATACTTCACCAGTATATCACATTGCAGCATTAAACGACTTACCAACAAGAGGTATAACTATGGTGTACTGTCTGTCTGAGATGAGTTTGTTGATACTAGGTAGATGGTCAATGAAGCAATTTGTATCAGGAATGAGGAATATTGGACGAATTTCTATCTCTATACAGCTGTGACGATTTGTCTCTATCACTTTCTATAAAAATATTTATATCAATATATATACAGGATAATGAATTTCTTTGTTAATGTGGAAAATTGAAATATCTTTCACATACTGAACACCAAATGCAATATTTTCAAAAGTGACATAGTCACAAGTAAAAATATGACAGCTGGGCCTGTATTCATAAAGTTTCTAAGAGAAAAAAATCCTTGACTGAATAAATCCTGTGGTTAAAAATATATTCCTTTAATTTTGAAGTCAAAACACCCATAAGTAACTCCTTAGGTAAAAATTTCCTAAAGTAAAATACAATATGAAATTCCATTAGAGTTTGAAATTATTTGACCCAAAACCTTTCTTTGAAACACAAATGACATTAATGGGACATAACATGTATTTAGACAAAAACGCAAGCAAGAAATTTGTTACATGTACTTAATTGTATGTTTATTTGTTTTTGTTTTTTTTAATTTTTTACACTGATTTCAACATATTTTGGTCATATCTCAGAGGTTTGTCCATGTGACAGGCTTTCCTGGATAACTGACCAGTAATAACCAATATCTCCTCCAAAAGCTGGACAACTTCATTTAGAAATTCAGGAGGTTCAGGGTTTAGCCATTATCTTTACCTTTCTATGTTCATGTAATCTTTTCTTTTCTTCCATTCTCTTTTCCAGCTCTTCTTTCCTTGCCTTTAGATGTTGTACATGCTGATCACCTGCCTCCTCCATATGTATAATCTCTTCATCCTCTATAACAACATCTTCTTCCTGCAAGGGGAGGTAATTTTTTGTGTAAAACTAAAGGTGAAATACTGTATATACGGGGAGGTAATTCTTTGTGTAAAATAAAAAGTAAAATATTATATAAGGGGAATAATGAAAAAATTAAAAGGGGTAATGCTTGTGGATAAAGGGGGAGTAAGGAAATAAAAAGGGTGGAAGTAACAGTATAAAAAGGGGGTAAATGTATAAAGGGAGGAAATCATTTTAAAAAATTGGGGGGAAATCACTGTATAAAAGATTTAATGACTGTATATAGGGGGGTATGCATGAAATAAAGATGGTAATCATGTATAAAGGGTGTAATGATTTTTAAAAAGGGGGGTAATATTTATTAAGGGAAAAACCCCTCATAAAGGAGAAGAAACCAGCCATTTATTCTAAAATTTAGCAATTTTTCTAAATCTTTCACAATAAATTAAAGAACATTTAATTTTTGAAATTTTTTTTATTTTTTTAATGTCATTGTTATTCATTAATTTAAAAAATGAAAAACATAAAACTGAAAAAAATCAAATTGTTTCTTTTTTTAAACTTTTTAAAAAACTTTTAAATTTTTTTTCTTTATTTTTTATTTTATACTCCACAGTGTTAAGCACACATTATATAACTATTAAATTTTGCCAACTACATATAATTAGGCTGGCTATGTAATGTTGAATGCCAGAATAATGTTATTTTAGAGATTACACTGTCCTTATCCCAATCATTTTGAATACTACACAAAATCAAAAGTAAGTTTCATATGTGTAAATTCAATCTGGTTATATTGAGTACAAAATGTAATATGTAATTATATTCTTCATACAAATAGTAAATACTGAAAGATAACAATTTTATTTTACAACTACAAATTGCCTTTGGCATAGAAGGTATCTACAATTAATTTCATAATTACTTTTTTGTCTGTTTCACAAATGCCCTGGGGGATGAAAAAATTAAATTAAACTATATTTGAAGATATGACAACATAAAATTGACAAAAGTTCATTAAAAAATAATTGACCTTGGTCAAAAAGCTATTATATACAAACTTTCAAGATCGAGTATTTGTTTCACAAATCATTTCTTTTTATTAACTTGGATGACCTGAAGCAAATCTTCATAAAAACGTCTATTTTTATTAAATAAATGTAATAATATTATGCCAACATGTATTATGTATGCTTTCTTATGTAAAATACCTTGTGGCTCTTATCACAGAAAAAAAAATATGCAAAGGAAAATTTGTTTTCTATAAATGGAAGACTTTTGTTTGGAATATTTATCTTAACAAGTGTATGTATTTATTTATATGAAGAAAACAAATTGACAAGGACTCTAAATCAAAACTGGAAATTTTGTATGCATTTAAAACCCTGGAAATTTGTGGCTTAGCAATGACCAAGTGGTTAATCTATTAAGAATTAAACCTGGAGATTTTGATTTTTACGCTGATATGTTTCCATCAAGAACCACTAAGAAAGAGACCTCAAGGATTCTAAACAAGCTTTACCCGTTGTTTGTTATAATGGCAAGTGTTTTGTATATGTAAAATCAACATTTACAAAACAACGATCTGTACATTTAATCACAACCTACAAAAGTCCAAAAAACACAAAAACTGGAAAAATATTGTATGTAGACCCTGTGGGATGGAGGTAAATTTTCCAATTTTTTTCTTTACTGATATATCTTTCTGTTCACTTACCACTTAGAAACTTAGCGTATGATCAGTGATTTTTCACCTTGTATAACAAAGGCCTATAAAAGGCCTCTTTCCAATGGAAATTTTCTTTAAAATCATGCAGTTCATTCATGTTTTTTAACTCCTGAAAAGCAATTTTAGCAATATTCTTCCCAAAATCAAGAGGATAAGGCCAATTCCCAATAAAGAAACTTGTGGCAAGAAGGTATAACTTTCTTTAGTTTTCTTTACTGGTATATTTTTTACTACACTGACCACATAGAAACGTTTACTGGTATTATCCCCACTAAGAAGTTTTCTTTTATTGTGTAACTTGTGGTATAACTTTCTTTAGTTTTCTTTACTGGTATATTTTTTACTACACTGACCACATAGAAACATTTACTGGTATTACATTGTATCCCCAGTAACAATTATTCTTATTTTGTGTAACAGGTTATATAACTTTCTTAAGTTTTCTTTACAGGTATAACTATCATTATAAGTAATTACGACTTAGAACATTAGTGTATAGTATGATTTATTCAAATATCCATTCTGCTTCATTTTTAATACATGAAAATAACTTTATCTTTCAGGTTTAAGAATGAATGCTAAATCAGTAGATATGAGTTTATGTGAATATAAACAATGCACAATAAACTTTATAGACAATGCACAGCAAAGAAAGGATTTTTTCTCCACAGCAGATGCAGTATTATTCCAAGGCGGGCGACTCATAAACAAGCCTCCAATACGTTGTCATGCCAACCAGGTCTACGTATTCACATCTATAGAATCCCCTATTCATCTCATGTTTTCATATGGCGGAAAGAGATGGTACAATACTATAAACTGGACGATGACATACAGACTGGATTCCGATATATTGTATAAATACGGTTCTTTGAAATTAAAAAATTTGACCGATATCCCAAAAGAAAAAAATTACGAACAAATATTCAAAGAAAAGACAAAAGAGGTGGCATGGTTAGTCAGTGATTGTCCGACAGAAGGCAAACGAGAAAAATATGTCAATATTTTACAGAAGTACATGAAAGTGGACATATACGGTCGATGCGGCCCTTTTAAGAACTGTACAAAAGAAGAAGGAACAAAGTGCCTTCAAAAGATCGGAAAAGACTATAAGTTTTATTTATCATTTGAAAATTCTGTATGCAAAGATTACATGACAGAGAAAGTTTTTGGCTGGTTCCAAAGGGATATAATCACTGTAGTGAGGGGAGCCAGGAATTACGACAAGCTACTTCCGAAAAACACTTATATAGATACTCATAAGTTTACATCTGTCAAAGATCTGGCTGAATATTTAAAGAAATTAAGTAAAAATAAAGAGGAATATATAAAATATTTACGAGAAAAAGATAAATACGAGACGGAATCTTTACGTACCCAGGTACAGAGAGCTTATTGCGATTTATGTAAAAGACTTCATCATATTGAAGATTATAAGCGAACGTATCAAAATATTGATCAATGGTGGTTAACAGATTCTTGTCAAAGAACACCTACTGATATACATTAAAGCTTAAATCACATTAGTTCTTTTTATATCTTATTTTGACAGACAACCAATGGGGTTCATGAGATTGAAGAAATAAATCTTTCAAACCTATTAGAAGAGCAGAGCATAATTTTAAAAGGTTCTTTATTTGAAAAAAAAACCAACAAAAAACAACTTTTAACTCGTGTTAACTTTAGAGTAAAGCTTTATAAAAATGCTTAAATATTACATCTTTTTTCTTCTTCTTTAAATATCATTAACACACACAATGTCATATGGCAACTTTCTTGCTTTAATGGTGGAGGAAGAATAAAAGGAGCCCCCCCCCCCCACACAACAAATCCCTGGTTTGTTCATTATTTTAGGCACAAACTATTACCTTCACCTGCAACACCATAACTATCGCACATAAAAGAATACAGAGTTCAATTTTTGGGTCTGAACTCACATTGGTCCAAAATCAATATTTTAACTAGAGGATGCTTTTGTAAAAAAGCGCATGTCTCCCCCACTGCTGAGAATAACTGTGAATGGAAACAGGAATGGAACTGGAGAAATCCGGAAATGAGAAAATGACCAATGGTCACTGTGACCTTAACCTTTGACCTACTGACCCCATAAACAAGAGGGATCATCTGCTCAATAAGACCAATCATCCTATGAAGTTTGAGGGTTGTAGGTCTAAAGGAACTCTAGTTATCATCCGGAAAGGAGAAATTAACCAATGGTCGCTGTGACCTTGACCTTTGACCTACTGACCATTAAAACAATAGGGATCATTTGATTAATAAGACCAATCATCCTATGAAGTTTGAGGGTTGTAGGTCAAAAGGAACTCTAGTTATCATCCGGAAATGAGAAATTGACCAACGGTCACTGTGACCTTGACCTTTGACCTACTGACCCCAAAAACAATAGGGATCATCTGCTCTATAAGACCAATCATCCTATGAAGTTTGAGGGCTGTAGGTCAAAAGGAACTCTAGTTATCATCCGGAAACGAGAAATTGACCAACGGTCACTGTGACCTTGACCTTTGAACTACTGACCCCAAAAACAATAGGGATCATCTGCTCAATAAGACCAATCATCCTATGAAGTTTGAGGTCTGTAGGTCTAAAGGAACTCTAGTTATCATCCGGAAACGAGAAATTGACCAACGGTCAGTGTGACCTTGACCTTTGACCTACTGACCCCAAAAACAATAGGGATCATCAGCTCTATAAGACCAATCATCCTATGAAGTTTGAGGGCTGTAGGTCAAAAGGAACTCTAGTTATCGTCCGGAAACGAAGAATGGACGGACTGACGGACGGACGGACGGACTGACGGACGGACAGGGCAAAAACAATATGTCTCCCCCCGAGGTGGGGGAGACATAATTATGAAGATATAAATTATCAAACCTCTGACAATTCAGCCTCATCTTGATCGTCCCCTCGAGGCTCGTCATTCTCGTAGCCATCAGATGGCGCCACACTGTAATACTTCTTTGTCTCAGCACTGTATGCTAACATTGGAGGCTCCACTCCACATAGGTACTCTCCAAACACACGCAACTTCTCTACTCGCAGACAATCTCTGGCCATGTCCTGCATAACAAAAGCATTTAATTAGATTGACAGAAGTTTGTTTTACTGTAAATTCATTCATCCTCAATCTAATGCAAGGATATTGAAATAAGTATTCAATTCATGAATATATGAAGTTACTAAAATGCTTTTTTTTGTTTTGGATGGGTTTTATTTATGTAGCACCAACACAGTATAGGTCAGATGGCGACTTCCAGCTTTACTAGTGGAGGAAAACTTCAGGTGCCCTACCTTGCATTATTTCAGGCAAAAATAGGCACTTGAGTCGAAGACAGCCAGCTGTATAGCTAGGGATAAATAAAAGCCAAACACTTGAGCAACTTTTCAAAGAGAGCGCATACTTGGTTATCTAATGAAGTAAATTACAATTTAAACAGATTTCTTTACATCTTAGAAACTACCCTGGTTTACATGTATCTTTTAGAGAAGATACAGACTGACAAATGCTGCAATATATATGTAACAGTAACACATCATGAAAATTGTTAGTTTTGTACCCTGTTAATGTTTATTCATTAGGCTTTTTTTTTTTAGCCTGAGCAAGAAAAATAAGACCTCATAATCTCAAGATTACATATATGACAATGACAATGGTTCAAACAAGTTGGTAACAAAACTACAAACCTATAATACCTAGAAAATGGACTGTAGAAATTCATGATGTCATGTTATTTTACCCTTTAAATACCATTTAAATATTTTAAATGGACTTGTCCATCTTTCAATCTGGACAAACCCATTCATCATTTTTAGGGAAAATAACAAGATTTCTACTGACTGAATAACAAACATTGCAGACCATGATCAGATGGCACCAATGTGCAGACTGATCTTGGTCTGCACTTGTCACAATTAAAGATTAATATGTGGCCAGCAGGCAAATGATTAATCAAATAAAGCACATATCTATATATTTATACATAGAGTAATTTACCTTGTCAACAGTGTCCTCCACAAACGTGCTGGTGAGGGGTGTTGTTAACAGTGGCACAAATCCAGACATCATTATATCCTCTGATAAAATCACTGCTTCCAGTCCTATATAAAATATAAACACTGTGAACATACAGATTCTGTGTGATGGCATAGCCACGTGGTTAACATGTCGGACTAGTAATCTAAGGATTACTAGCTGAGTGGGTTCAAGGGGGCAAGCCGTTGTTTCCTTGGGCAAGAAACTTTACATTCATTGCTTAGTACTGGTGGGTTCCAGAATGGATTTTAGAGGGTTTCAATAAGCTTATAGCTTTCAACACAATAAGACTTAAATAAATTAGTATAAACTAACATACAGATACCGTGAGTGATAATTGTGATAATAAACAGGTTTAAGTCAAAAGACCAGAATCAGAAACAACCATGGGTCAAAGATTATAAAGAATTTTTCTATGCTCAAACTAAGATCTCAGACACAATGGCCACTGAAAATCCTGAGATTCTACAAGAAGTTATGGGCAGTTTGGCTTACCTTCACTTTTTTCTGTATAAAACTTGATTATAGATGTGTCCATCTCTTTCAATATATTGCACAAGGTTGATGTACACACCCAGACATCTATATCAGGCCTGCAAATACAGAAATAAAATATCAGGTGTATTATGTGAATTGTCTTACCTGCTTAATTAATATTAAGTAAAGCAAGATATGTTTGTAAAACATGTATGCCCCCTATCAGCAGCCAATTAGTCATGTGATAAGGTTATTATGCATGACTTCTGACCCAGTGATCAAACAATTAATAAGTTATCAAGTATCTACTGGTCATGACCTTGACCTTTGACCCCTTAACCCCAAAATCAATAGGGGTCATCTGCTTGTTATGACCAATCACCATACCAAGTTTGAAGTTCCTAGGCCTGAGGGTTCTTTAGTTATTGATCGGAAACTGTTTTTACCTAAGAGGTCAATGTGACCTTGACTTTTGACCCCTTGACCCCAAAATCAATAGGGGTCATCTACTGATCATGACCAATCACCATATCAAGTTTGAAGTCCCTAGGCCTAAGGATTCTTTTGTTATTGATCAGAAACCTTTTTTACCTAAGAGGTCAATGTGACCTTGACCTTTGACCCCTTGACCCCAAAATCAATAGGGGTCATCTACTGATCATGACCAATCACCATATCAAGTTTGAAGTCCCTAGGCCTAAGGGTTCTTTCGTTATTGATCGGAAACCGTTTTTTACCTACAAGGTCAATGTGACCTTGACCTTTGACCCCTTAACCCCAAAATCAATAGGGGTCATCTACTGGTCATAACCAATCACCATACCAAGTTTGAAGTTCCTAGGCCTAAGGGCTCTTTTGTTATTGATCGGAAACCGTTTTTATCCAAGAGGTCAATGTGACCTTGACCTTTGACCCCAAAATCCATAGGAGTCATTTACTGATCATGACCAATCACCATACCAAGTTTGAAGTTCCTAGGCCTAAGGGTTCTTTAGTTATCACTCGGAAACCATTTGGTCTATGGACCGACAAGTGCAAAGCAATATACCCCCTTTTCTTCAAAATGGGGGCATAATAAATTTCAGCCTTACTAATTGAAGGAGCAACTGCAATAATGTTTATATGCCCTGCATGAATATACTTAATAAACATCAACTGAAAAGTGTGGCATGGCTGAGTAGTTAATGTGTCAAATATGTAATCTGAGTATCTCTAGCCTTGTGGGTTCAAACACCCATCAGGGATAAGACATTCTTCCTTTGAGAAAGAAACTTAACACTCATGGCTCAGTACTGGTTGTTTACTAGAACAGATTGGAGAGAATTCTTATAAGCTTATAGCTTCCTACACAATCAAACTAATAAACAAAATCAAGAAAATGATTCTCGAAAAAATATAACAAGATAATTGACATTTTATGCCCTGCATAAATATTAGAAGTGATAATCATTTTCTTCAATAAACAGAATGATGACGAAAAAAGTTTTTAATGTTCAGTATATTTCAAATTGGATATCTTACCCAAGGGCTGGATCCCTGACTTGTGGAGGGGGGTTCCATAGATCTGCATGGCAAATCATCCAATTAGTCCAAACCTTGATGCCAGGAATCAGTTCTTCCAGTTCTCGACTGAACATCCGGCCAGGGTAGTCACTAGACTTGGTGTGCACCGCTAACAACTGGGCACATCTCTGGACTAGAATACCAAACATATCCAACCCCATTTGTACAGAATGTTGTTGTAACAGAGATCTACATGTTGATTCTAGTGACTCATCTAAAAGAAACGAAAAACATGTCTGTCCCCTAAGCAATCTTTGTACTGAAGTTTTATGAGACAGAAAGTTTCTCTGCACTTAAAAAGACCTGTACAGCTTCCTTGTATGAAAGGACTTGCCACTTTCCAGAAATTTTACTTACCCGGGTTTTCATTTTATCTGAGAAAACAGATGTGTCAAGGAAAATAACCAATTTGGCGAAGGGTCAAGTGTTGACATTTTAATATAGAGGCTGTAAATAGAAACCCATTTGAACAGCATTTTAACTGATGATATGGATCCCCAATCTTTTAAATGTTAATGTATAAATGGTGGAAATAAAAATTTTTTAATTTTTGGGGTTAAGGGGCCCCCTTCCACAAAAAGGTTTAATAAAAAAAAGTGTTAAATTTTTTCATTTCCCCTTTTAATTTTTATGTAAAAGTCTAAATTTTTAAAACTTATTGCTTACAGTAAGGGCTTTCAATACCTATACCTTCAATAATCTGGTATACTATATATCAATTTAATATAAGTTGATTGTAAAACAGGTTTTACAACTTAAAGAAATAACCCTGAACCCTGCATTTTATGTGACCAAGCTGGATTGAAAGAGAATTTTGTTTGTTTGTTTGTTTCATTTTACGCCTTTTTCCAACAGTATTTCATTCATATAGGCGGGTAGTTTCCTACCATTGTTCCTGGAGAGTTACACCAGTACTAGACTACCTTCCTCCGCGCTAAACTACCAAAGCATCTCCCGGGGATCGAACCCACGCCAGAGAGGTAACTGGATTAGAAGTCATCGACTCTAACCCCTCGACCACGGAGGCGGCTGAAAAAGAATTTAAGTTTCTTTTCAATGCTGAATATAAAGGAAGGGGACAAGTAGAACAAAACCCATTAAGGCTCATAAGTGTAAAAAAAACTCAATAATATAGCCTGTAATTTACCTTTTAAAGCTGTGTTTTCTATAGCAAACATATTTATTGCCATCAGTTGTAGAAGACGCTGTGGTCCTATTGCATTCACTTTGAGTAGTGCTTTAAACTCATGTAACATTTGACCACAACTGTCAGGAAATATCTCCATTCTGCAAAATATATGATTAATTCTTTATATCATTTTTTCTTCTATCACTTCTCTTATACTGTCAGTTTATTATTTATTTTGGTTTGATACTGCAGGAAGATGTGAGCCTTTAGACACACTTTGATACCCATTCCTGGAGCCTACCAGTACTGAGCAATGAGTGTTAAGTTTTGAAAGGGCTTGAGCACCATACCTCTAGTGATCAGAAGATTACTAGTCTGACGTGTTCACCTCTCAGCCATAGCATCACTTCAAAATTTTGGTTTTCATATGAATCTGGTATGCCTCATCTATGTCTATATCTAACTATTAATTATTTTACCTCTATAAATGTCCACTAAAGAGCTCACAACTCTTGTTTAACTTTTGAGTCACACTATGGTCCTAAATGTATTAGGGTTTAAAAATCAAAACAAATATATTTTGTTCACAAAGATCACAAAATCTGCCACTTAATACAGAATGCCAGTGAAATAAGTAACAGTCCCTTCATATGTGAAATGTAATCATTACTTACCCAATTTTTGTAAAGAGTTTTCCATGTACATTTAGGAAACTGAGAACAAATCTCTTGTTTAACTGGAAATAGAAAAAAATTATTCAACATAGTAACTAGAGATCTTAATTTCTGAATTTCAAACTTCAAAAAGGGCCATAATTCTGTCAAAATCAAAGTTAGAGTTATGGGCCTTGGAAAGTGATCTTCTTTAATGCTCTCAAATAAGTGTGTGACGTTTCAACCTATTTGCTTCAGTAGTTTTAGAGATACCAAAATGCATGCAAAAAAGTGTGCTGGTGATGGTAATGGCGACACCAGGGTGAATACTATAGCTCTCCCTATACTTCCAATAGTGGAGCTTAAAACTAATCGCAAACCAAGAGTAAGACTAATATACTTCGTAAGAACAACATGACTCCTACTTTTCAAACTATACCAATAATCTTACAGACTTTCAATATTCAAACACAACAAAAGTGGTAGTCATAGATTATGCTTTTTGAAACACGAAAAAACAGAAGAAAATGCCTATTTAACATATATTTATGACCTAACCTGTACAGTGTCCAGTTTGGACAGATCTTCATCATAATTATCATCAACTTTCGACTGGCTACTTGTGCCGTCATTTTTCACCCAGATCTCCATCCGATGTTGTGTAACGTTAGCATGCTTCCTCAAACCCTCTTGTTTCTTTCTCTCCTCAAAACGCTGTTTCTCATTGACCTCTGCCTATAACATATCACATCAATATATATTATACTGCACATTTTGTAACATCGCTTTTCATTGGATAACAGTGGCATTAATATAACACCCCAGTTACACAGAGCCATCGGTGATTGATCGGTAGTTTTTTTAGCCAAATTATAGAGTGAACCGATGACAACGTATTTAACACCGATATCACCTATTGGTCACCTGTTTTCCACCTATCAACTGCTATTGGGGAAAGATAAGTTTCATCGGTGAAAAATTACCGATTGGGATTTTTAAACATGTTTAAAATTCTCGATCGGTAAAAATATTTTACAAATAACCGACAGCAACCTATATCACTAGATATGCAAGCTCTTAATCACTGATATCACCGATCGGACAAAGATAACCAAATATGAATCACCGGCCATATCTGACGGAAAGTGTTTAACCACTGATGACTAGCTATCAAACACCGATTAATCAGCGTTACGCCCGATTTAGCTCCGATTTACAAACGATAAAAACCGATAGTATTTCAGCATTTAATCATCAACCCAACCCCGTTTGAGTTGGCTTTCTGTCACCGATGGCCGTTTACACAGAAAATCAGAAATAAAATCATGCATGACAACCGATCATAACAGCGAGTAAATTTAAAATTAAATGACCGATTGGGGACCGACCGTCTGTGTAACTGGCCCCTAATCTATAAACACAGTTCAACTGTTGTTATTCATTTAAAAAGAATTTCTTCTTTTTTTGTAATAAATTAAGTTTGCTGTATTATAAATTCATTATAAAGATTCTTGACAGGTTACATGGCTATATACAAACAGTTGTTTAAAATATAACCCTAGCCTAGCAGTTTGGGTTATATATACAAACAACCATTTATATCTGGCCATATAACCTGTCAAACATCCTTCTGTTACACTTTTTTAAGCTACTGGTAAACATCATTGGTTCAAAACTATTGCCAGTTAATTGAGATTGATACACGAGTGTCAGCAAATTGCTTTAACTTTGAATTACGAAAGATCCACTGTAGCATATATCTAAAATTATACATTTTAAGACAGCCTTTAAATGAAATCTTTAAACCTACGTTTAAGTCATATGGATATATTTCAACAATTGTCGTAAAAGAAAAATTGCAAAATTGGGCTTTTAGGCAGAATCGACAACCTTCCCTATCATGCAAACTTAAATATTCTATAAACATATATTTCTAAAATTGCAAACATGAAAACAACATGAACAATAAAAACAGAACATAAACAATTTTCGTATAAGGTAATTTTAACAAAAAACTATACAAAATATTAACAATACATAGCTACCATCATTCTTATTTGCTGTAAAATAACCCAACAGATCATCTATAAAATGTTGAAAACTTTTACATGCAATAAAAAGCAACAAAAAAACACCAAACAGGTATTTATTCATACCAAATGACACTGATTAAAGGAAGACAGTGAAAAAAGATGGATAGATGGAATGGATTAGATTGACCAATGGACTGAATGCACAGATCAATGGTTGCCTGACAGAAGGACAGTCACTGGACTAAATCTTTACAACTGGATACTTAAGTAAGTGTTCTTGCTCTACTCATTTGTGTTTTAGCCATGTAAGCAAATATATAGACATTAAACAGACACTAGTAATTAATATAATTATTATTCTCATAGACACATAAGTATCCTTATTAAGTATGGGTGGACAAACATATACACCCACATAACAATAGAAGGCATACATCTAGTTGAGGCATACAATATAGAAACTATATTGTTATACAAAGAAAATGAAAACAAATTCACATTATCTTCACTTGTATATATATTTTTTATTGAGTGCAAAGAATTATCTGTAGAAGTCACAAAAATGGATAAAATAATTTATATTATACCTTCTTCCTTGCCTCATTGAATAAAGACATTAAACTTTCTCTAGCAGTGATAAATGGGTTACTGGCCGCCAAACTTCTCATGTAATAATACACTGCATCCAATTTGTGTTTCTGCAAATTCAAAACATAAAATTTATTTTGGTTGGGTTTTATGCACCAACATGGTAAAGGTCATATAGCAACTTTCCAATTTTACTGGTTGAGGAAGACCTTCAGTGCTCCTCTACTCATTATTTCAGGCACCAACAGGCGCCCGAGTAGAACCACCAACATGCCATAATGAAACAAAATAAATATTCAACATAACCAGAATATGTTTTCCTAGTGCAAGAGCTTTTATTTGGTGATTTTACAGCCTATGATTATATGATCATAATTATCCTCAAATATAAGGTATTCAATAATTCTTTTTCCCCTTCAACAATATTTGTAGAAATTACCATTACCCATGTGGAATATTGTTTTTTTTTTCCATTGTGAAATATAAAATTGAACACAATTATTACACTTGGATTGGCATAACGTCACTTTAAAATCAAACCAGGATCACTTACTGTATATAGAGCTAGAATAGCCAGCTGATTGTAGGGTCTGCCATTCTTAGGAGCAATTTGTTGTGCCTTGCTGTACCAACTGAAATAGGAAAAAATCTTGAAGCTATATTTTATACAAAGAGGACATTAAATGAGTTCCATATTACTGATTTATTTAACCATATTATGTGAGCCTCTGGCTCAACAACTTCTAGACAAAAGAGGGATAATAATAACAAATTTCTGTAAAAACAAAACATGGAAAATGCATTTAGAGAAAGATTCTGTACATATCGGACTTGTAGAACCCGAAAATGCTTTAACCGAAACCTTCTGGAACCAAAAGTCTCTGGCCCAGTTTTTGCCATTTGGGATGGGAGCCCCCAAGAAAAAAGTTTGGAAAACACCTTGTACCCGGGAAACAAGCTCAAAAACTGATAATGGGCTCAATTTTTATTTTTGATAATGAAACCCTCAAAACCCTTTAAAAGGGACGATCCAAATTAAAAAATTTTGGGGAAATTTTCATAACCAAAATTTTCAAAACCTTTAAATTTCAGCGGGAAAGGGGATAAAGTAGCGTACAATGAAATGTACAATACCTTCTAGCTTTTGCGTAATTAACTTTCCCGCCATCATTATTCTGCTCCTTGTATCTGGCTATATCACCAAGACATATCATTGTTCTCTGACAACTAAGTAACGCTAATTTGTTCGCGCGGCTCAGATTCTCTGGAGATAATGTATGAGGGTCTAAAAACTTGCTGAGGTCAAAGTTGAAGGTCGATTGCATTTTCCCTAAAAGTAAAACTTTCTAGAACACGGCCCCCTAAAAATATAAAAAATTAAAAAAAAATTACATTATTCTCATTTAGAAATATTTAAACTAGAAATGTGCCCATGGGAAACACAAAGGGCCCCTAAACACGCCACTTTTTCTTTCAATTTATGACTCTAGGTCAAACTTTTTTGGGGGACTCATGTCCCACAAGTTAAAAACTAAAATCAAAAAAAGGGCCATAATTCTTTTTAAATTTGGTCGCAGAAAAAATTTTCCTTTCCCTTTAAACTACCATCTACACTTTAAGGTTGTTAATCCCAGGAAGTTTAAGAAAAAAATCTGCCATCCGGTTTAAGAGGATTTTACGTTAAACAAAAAAATTTTCGGGACGAAAACGGACGGACGGACAAAACCGTACGGAGGGAAAGGGAAACCGGAAAAAGGAAAACGCTATAGGCCCCCACAATGTGGGAGATAAAAACATAACGTTAATTTACTTTTTTTTTTTAAAAATCTTTTTTTTAAAAAATCAACATTCCAAATCCAAAAAAACCTTGAGGGGCAGAAATAGCCCAGTGTTTTAACATGAAGTTTTGCTGGTTGGGGTGGGTTCAAACCCCATAAAGGGGACAACCCTTTTTGTTTCTTTTGAGCAAAAATTTTTTTTTAAAATTTTGGGTTTTAAAGGTTTTTTAAAAGTGTTTTTAAAAAAAAATTTTCCCCCCAAAAAAAAAAATAAATTCACATAAAAAAAAACCAAAAAAAAAAAATTTTTTAAAAAACCCCCAAAAAATTTTTTTTTAGTGGTAAAAAAATTTCCCCCCCCAAAAAATTTTCCCCCCAAAAAAAAACCCCCCCCCCCCCCCCCAAAAAAATTTTTTAAAAACCCCCCCCCCCCCCCCCAAACCCCCCCCCCCCAAAAACCCCCCCCCCCCCCCCCCCCCCCCCCCCCCGTCCCCCCCCCCCCCCCAAGGAAAAGGCCCCCCCCCCCCAACCCCCCCCTTTTTCCCCCCCCCCCAAAAACCCCCCCCCCCCCCCCCCCCCCCCCCCCAAAAAAACCCCCCCTTTTAAAAATTTTTCCCCCCCCCCCCCCCCCCCCTTTTTAACCCCCCCCCCCCCCCCCTTTTTTTAAAAAATTTCCCCCCTTTTTCCCCCCCCCCCAAAAAAAACCCCCCCCCCCCCCCCCCCAAAATTTTTTTACCCCCCCCCCCCCCCCCCCACCACCCCCCCTTTTTTTTCCCCCCCCCCCCCCCCCCCCCCCCCCCCCCCCCCCCCCCCCCCCCCCCCCCCCCCCGCCCCCAAAAAAACCCCTTTGGGCCCCCCCCCCCCCCCCAACCCCCCCCCCCCAAAAAAAAAGCCCCCCCAAAAAAAAACCCCCCCCCCCCCCCCCCCCCCCCCCCCCCCCCCCCCCCCCCCCCCCCCCCCCCCCCCCCCCCCCCCCCCCCCCCCCCCCCCGCCCCCCCCCCCAAATTTTTTTAAAAAAATTTTTTCCCCCCCCCCCCAAAAAAAAACCCCCCCCCCCCCCCCCCCCCCCCCCCCCCCCCCCCCCCCCCCCCCCCCCCCCCAAAAAAAAAAAACCCCCCCCCCCCTTCCCCCCCCCCCCCTGGGTTTTTTTCCCCCCCCCCCCCCCCCCCCCCCCCCCCCCCCCAACCCCCCCCCCCCAAAAATTTTTTTTTTCCCCCCCCCCCCCCCCAAAAAAACCCCCCCCCCCCCCCCCTTCCCCCCCCCCCCAAAACCCCCCCCCCCCCCCCCCCCTTTTTTTTTTTTTAAAAAAAAAAACCCCCCCCTTTTGGGGGCCCCCCCTTTTTTTAAAAAAGGGAAAAAAGGGGGGGCCCCCCCCCAAAAAAAAACCCCCCCCCCAAATTTTTTTGGGGTTTTTTTTTTAAAAATTTTTTAAACCCCTTAAAAAAAATTTTTAAAAACCCCTTTTTTTTTGGGGGGGGGTTTTTTAAAAAAAAAGTTTCTTCCCTTTTTTTTTGAAAAAGGGGGAAAAATTTTCCCCGGGTTTTTTTAAAATTTTAAAAAAAAAATTTTTTTTTTAAAAAATCTTCCCCTTTTTTTTTTAAAAAAAAAAAAAAAGTATTAAAGTTTCATGCTGATAACTATTAAATATTTTGAAAAATGGGCTACATTAATAAAACTTTTTGTACAACGACGATGACCACACAGCAATTATAATAGCTCGACATTTTCTTAGAAACAGAAAATCTAATATAAGATCATACCTTAAATTATTGATCATGTGTATTGTGTCTTCCCCACCTATACGTCTAGATATAAGACTATTGAGTTGTTTATCTAGTGGTATAGCTTCTCGCAGTAACTGTTCCGCCATCATACGACACTGAGATCTGCTGCGGCCTGTCGCCATCTGTTGTTCTATGTCCATACCTCTGTTGTAGTAACAAAATGTCATTAGATCAATATTCATAGCCACAAAATTACATCTATACTTTATATGAAATTCCATTATATTACTGCATGTTTGAAACGTCGCTTTTTATTTGATAATTGTGACGTTTATATAGATTTATATACACATCTGCTGTCAATTTATGGAGAAATTTCATATTTTTCTCTAAACAAGAGGGCCATGATGGCCCTGAGGTCGCTCACCTGTATATAGCCGCCCCCCCCACCCCGGGCCAATTTTTACCCAAGGGCTTTTATTTGTTTATTTGAACAAACTTGGTAGACACCCATAAGAAGATGTTTCATGCTAAACATCTAAGTTCTAGCTCATTGGGCTTTTTAAAAGAAGATTTTTAAAGTTTTTACTATACACATATAGTTAAAAACAATGACACCCCTGGGGCAGGGCCAGTTTTGACCCCCGGGCCTTTATTTGAACAAACTTTGTAGATATTTACTTAAAGATGTTTCATGCTTAATATCTAAACTCTAGCTATTTGGGTTTTTTCAAAGAAGACTTTAAAGTTTTTGCTATACACAGATAAGAAAAATCAATGACCCCCCGGGCGGGGCCAGTTTTGACCCCAGGGCTTTTATTTGAACATACTTGGTACACACACCCATTAGAACATGTTTCATGCTAAATATCTTAGCTCTAGCTTATTGAGTTCATTAAAAGAAGATTTTTTAAGTTTTTACTACATGCATATAGGGAAAATCAATGACCCCCTGGGGCGGGGCCAATTTTGACCCCAGGGCTTTTATTTGAACAAACTTGGTAGACATTCATTAGAAGATGTTTCATGCTAAAATATCTTAGCTCTAGCTCTTTGGATTCTTTAAAAGAAGATTTTTTAAGTTTTTACTATATGCATATAGGGAAAATCTATGACCCCTGGGGTGGGGTCAATTTTGACCCCAGGGCTTTTATTTGAACAAACTTGGTAGACATTCACTAGAAGATGTTTCATGCCAAATATCTAAGCTGTAGCTCTTATGGTTCTTTAAAAGAAGATTTTTTAAGTTTTTTACTATATGCATATAGGGAAATCAATGACCCCCGGGGCTGGGGCCAATTTTGACCCCAGGGTTTAATTTGAACAAACTTGGTAGACACTCACTAGAAGATGTTTCATGCTTAATATCTTACCTCTAGCTCTTTGGGTTCTTTAAAAGAAGATTTTTTTAAGTTTTTACTATATGCATATATGGAAAATCAATGACCCCCTGGGGCGGGGCCAATTTTGACCCCAGGGCTTTTATTTGAACAAACTTGGTAAACATTCACTAGAAGATGTTTCATGCTTAATATCTAAGCCCTAGCTCTTACGGTTCTTTAAAAGAAGATTTTTTAAGTTTTTACTATATGCATATAGGGAAAATCAATGACACCCCGGGGCGGGGCCAATTTTCACCCCAGGGCTTTTATTTGAACAACTTGGTAGACACTCACTAGAAGATGTTTCATGCCAAATATCTTAGCTCTAGCTCTTTGGGTTCTTTAAAAGAAGATTTTTTAAGTTTTTACTATATGCATATAGGGAAAATCAATGACCCCCTGGGGGGGGGCCAATTTTGACCCCAGGGCTTTTATTTGAACAAACTTGGTAGACACTCACTAGAAGATGTTTCATGCCAAATATCTAAAGCTCTAGCTCTTAGGGTTGTTTTAAAGAAGATATTTAAAGATTTTTCTTTCGGTTGCCATGGCAACCAGAGTTCTGCATGGAATTAAATTCTTTGAACAATTTTTAAAGGTGACCACCAAAGGAACATTCCTGTGAAGTTTGGATGAAATTGGCTCAGTGGTTTATGAGGAGATGTCATTTAAAGCAAAAGTTTACGGACGGACGCCGGACGGACGCCGGACGAAAAGCGATCACAAAAGCTCACCCTGTCACTTTGTGACAGGTGAGCTAAAAAAACCCCAAAAAACAGATGCTTGCTGTATTATAAATTTGTTACAAATATTTCTGACAGGTTATATGAACGTATATAAATGGTAGTTTGCAATACAACCCTCGACTAGCAGCTTTGGTTATATTTCAAAACAATCATTTATAAAAGGGTCATTCAACCTATCAAAATCTACCATAAAGGTCACATCGCATTTAACTAGTATGTGCAATATTTCTGGCATGAGCAGGTTCTTATGTTGAACCACTGACTTTCTTTAAAGCCAACGATATAGCTTTCTAATGACCCTTGCAGATTTTAGCACATACAGAGATGTTGTTTATAAACAAATTTTCTATCCATCTTTTACTAATTTAAATTGTAGTCTCTCAAAAGTTGTTACAACTATTGCATTGCTCTAAGGTTTTGGCAAAAAAGCACTGGCTACATTGTACACAAGTTTTTTAGTTATATCATTCACATGATTACCAATTTAATTTGAAATGTATGAACCTTTCATTATAAAACCACACACATATTTTGAAAAGCCAATTAAAGCCAAATCAGTATTACAAAAAAACTTTCATTCATAGAATTTCAATTGCTATCATAACCTACCTTTATCAACTAAGCTATAAAATGCTGATATAGTCTATAATAGATTCAATATTCCTGTTAAGCCATTACATGCCTGCTATTTGCAACAAACAATTAACTTAACAAATCATACTTTTTTTCTTTTGTTAAGTTGTTTTCAAGATAAACTGGTACTGATTATATAGAGGTTTACAAGACAAAACTAAATTTTATTTCTTTTTTTTTATTCTTACCCCTGATAATAAGGATCTTCCTGATATGGAGACGATTCCCTGTAAGCACCTTGCTGGGCATGGTACCCATATGGGTCAAGCATTCCTGGGTGAGGCGGCATCATTTGGGGCATATTATATCCATAGCCATAACCAGGAGGATAAAACTGTCCTGGGCCCGGCCCATATCCCATATAAGGGGGGGCTGAACCCATGTATTGAGGTGACTGGGGTGATGAGGGGTATGAATCTGTGTCTTTAAAATCCAGTTTGGGTTTAGCTTCTTCAATTACTATTGGTTTACTTGGATTGTTGGGATCAAATAAAGTTTTCTGCCTATGACTAGACCCTGAATGCTGTCTTTCTCTTGCATGGGACCCTCCCCTTTCTGGGGTATGTCCCCGCCCCCAGCCTTGGTGTTGATGTGGACCAGCTTTGTTGTGGTGTGGAGCTGGATGAGAAATGGTTTCCGGCTCTTTTGGTTGAGGTGGGATATGTAAGATTCCACCTCCATGAGGTTGTTGTTCATTTGTTTTTTCTTCATCCTCATGCCTATAATCCCTGTCTCTGGATAACTTGTCAAAATTTTCTTATACCCTTTTGACCTCGTCCTCTTAGACCTGTCATCTCTATGCCCTCTGTCATCTTTTGCCCCTCTATACTCTTTGACCTTTTTCTTCTTTTGCCCCTGTATCTTTTGCCCTCGCCCTTCTATGCCCCCTATATCCTATACCTTGTCACCCCTATACCTCCCATTCCCCTATAAAACTTTTCCCCTCTTTTGTTATGACATCTATCTTTCCAATTTCTCTATTAGAATCAACTGCCGTTATCTCCCCTCTCCACCACTGAAATTTCTGTTTTCTCATTAGGTTGGATGCCTTATCCTTTCCACTTTCTTGAATAAAAGGGGGTCACCCAGTTGTCATATGACCTTTTTATAAAAATCCCGCCCTCTCCGCCCCTTTGTGGTCCTTTACTCCCACCTTTTTTATCGCCCCTTTTCCCTCCTCTACCCCACTTTTTCTTCCCGGGGCCTTTCCCAATTTTTAATCCCTTGCCCCTTTTTATTTGACTTCAAAAATTTTTTCCCTTGAATTTCTGAACTTCGCCTTGAATTTCAACCTTCCCTCTCCCCTTTTCCTGGCCACCACGGGACTAAAATTTATATTTCCCATGAACCCATAGTCCTTTCTGAGTCCCATTTTTACGCCTCCGTCTTCTTCTAGGGCGCCCGGGCTCCACTGTAAGACTTTGTACGCTTGACACTCTGTAAAATATGGGCCCGAACACGGGAATCTCGGCTTCTAAAACCTGAAAAAAAAAAAAACGATTAAATAAAAAAATTAAAAAACTCATTGTATATCAACTAAAAAGTGATTCCTGAACATTTTAGTAAATGAAATAGGAAAAACCTGAAACATGTTTTTTTCTTATCAGAAAATAATATGGATTTTTTATCGAAAAGTGAAAATTTATTAACCCCCCCCCTCACCTTCTTTGAAAAAAATGGGTCAAAGACAGAAAAGGCCGGGTTGCATTTGTATACCAAATATCCTGATGCTGTGATGTAACAAAAAAAAAAAATATCAAGAGGCTGTGATACCTGAGTTGCTGAGAAAACTGTTACGAAAAGTTTTTCCCTGCCCGCCGCCCTGACATTCACCATACTATAACCCGGGTTTGCACCTGTGCAACCCCGCCAAAAATAGGGGAGAATTCTCAAAAATTAGTGAAAAAACCCCAAACCACCATCCTCTTAGCAACATTTGAGAGGTTTACAAGCAATTTATATTATGTGCATGTACTTTAAACCTATGCTTTTATCAACAATTTTATGATAAGCTGACTACACTTTTTAAGTAACAACAAAATGTACCAAGAGAACCTCGTCTACGATCCGTTCTCCCTCGTGGCTCTTCTTTCTGTTTCTTCTTTGGTAATGGCAATGTACTTGACCTCTCCGACCAGGTATCAGACTTAACCGGAAAACCCGGCAGGTAACCAGGCGTACTTGAAGTCATTATATCAGTTTTCGCGTTATTTGAGCGGTTCACCTTCCCGTCATTCTGTGAAAGATTATCATCCTGGGACAAACCGAGTTCCTGACGCTCAAACCATTCGTTCATTTTCTGTGTTTCACCCTGGACCTATATAACAATCAAAGATAAAAGAAATAATCATCATTCCTTGCTTATTTGGTTCACAAGTCAATAGTTTAATGATTCTTTGCGGAATAAATGCGTAGAGCATTGCTTGTACTTGATGAGATTCACAGATGAATCAATCAAAGAATAAAAATCTTTATTAGAAAATCATCCTGTTAGCAAAAAACTTCTATAAATGCATTTGTACAACGAAGCAGGAACAGCCGTCTCATGCTAGGGTAAAAGTATATGAGCCGCGTCACAACAAAACCAACGTTATGTGTTTAAGACAAGCATGGATCCAGACCAGCCTGCACATCCGCGCAGTCTGATCAGGATCCATGCTGTTCGTTATCAGTTTCTCTACTTGTTATAGGGTTTATAAGCAAACAGCATGGATTCTGATCAGACTGCGCGGATGCGCATGCTGGTCTGGATCCATGCTGGTCGCAAACGCATAGTGTTGGTTTTCTCATGACGCGGCTCATATCTATAAAGCTGCTTTAGACAACTTGTTTTCTGCCTCACTGGCTAAAGCACTATTTTCCTGACAGGCATATTAACAAGTGCATGTTCATCTTTGAAAATGCGCACAAAGCTACATAAGGTTAAAAACATGCCATTTTATAAAAATTTTGCTTTAGCATTTTTCAAAATATGACAGCAAAAACTAATTCCTTGAATATTTGCTTTCCAATTTTATTCTAATATTTGGGTATTTGATTGTCCATTTGTCCATATCTGTTTCTCTGTCTCTCTCTTTATCAATGAACATTTAAAAACAATTGCTGGTGTAAAATTTCCCAGTGAACTCAAAAACATGACATTATCTAATAATAAATTAAATATAACAAGCATTTGATAGTATTGCGGGCAATACAGTAGTCCCCTACCGGTCCCTCAAAAAGTTCTTTAATTGTCATACACTCCTGTGTATTGCCATTTATAATGAATTTGAGGATGAAGTCTTGTATTTGAAAAATATCGATCACAAAACATAATAAAATAAGTTTGTCTATATCACAGTAATGTGTTAAGTTTCCATGCTTAGTAAGGAAATTATGTTTCATACAACCTTGTCATATTATTACGATGTGGGATTTTAAAGTAAATCCTATAAGGAATGAAGAAGTTGGAGTTAAATTACCAGTTTTCTCGAAAAAAATCTAAGTTCAAGGGGGACATAATTCTGGAAAATAGTCTTGCTAGAGTATTTAACCTTCTCAAAAAATGTCGAGTGATAATAAGAAACATATATATTGAAGTTTGAAGTAGATACATTAGGAAATAAAGAAGTTATTTAAAAAAGACAACATTTTTTCCCCTAAAAAATCTAAGTTCAAGGGAGGTAATACTGATATTTTTTGTGCTAGAGTTATAAACCTTGTCACATATGATGTGGTTGATGACCAAAAACTAATATTTAAAGTTTGAAGTAAACACCTTAAGAAATAAAGAACATATAGTGAAAAAGCTGAAAAATTTAAATCAGAAATCTTGAAATTCAGGCTATTTGTTGCCATAGCAACCAGAATTTTCAACATAGGAAGAAAAGAAAAAAGATGTGCATAATCTCCAGACTGCCATCTACCCATATTTCAAGTTTCATAAAAATATTTTCAGTACTTTTTGAGTTATCACTGGATCCAGTTTATGTGTTAAATTTGCCATATTTTCAGACTATTTGTTGCCATAGCAACCAGAATTTTTAACATAGGAAGAAAAAAAAAAGACGTGCATAATCTCCATACTGCCATCTATCCATATATCAAGTTTCATAAAAATATTTTCAGTACTTTTTGCGTTATCGCGGGATCCAGTTTTGTGGACGGACGGACTGACGGACTGACAGACTGACAGACAGACAGACGGACAGACAGACAGACGGACAGACGGAGGGTAAACCTAAAGTCCCCTCCGGTTAAACCGGTAGGGGACTAACAAGCGTCAATAAATGTAAGCATGCTATACTTCAAAATAGCTTTGATCACCTAATTGAAATCTGGTGAGCATTTCACTAACATTACGTAAGTTTTGCATATCTTTTTACGTAAATTTGGACTTACGCAAAAGGTAAATCTACGTTAGTTGCGTTTCACTAAACAGAACGGGCAATTTACGCCAGTTATAAGTGGGCGTAAATTTACGTTAAAACCTACGCAAATGCTTAGCTAATTTAGTAGAACGCAAATAAATACGCAAGTTCTGCTTAAACGCAAAAAGTTACGTTCAAACTCGAGTTACGATAACGTAAGTATGTTAGCAAAATGCACCCCAGGTGTAGTCCATTTGCAGTAACACAGAGTAAAGTATCGGCAAATATTCATGGTTAAATCGTCATCATATGCAATACAAGTATTTGTTTGGTTTTACCGCGCAACAACACAGTTCATTAGGGCAGGAAAGATTATTTTGGCTAACCTTATGTGTTACAAACTTAAAAGCAATGTCAGGAGTAAAAATTATCTCACCTGCTGGGGCTAAGAGATGCATAGAATGCAGTTATTTGAATCCATTTAGTGGCCTCTTACAGTCATGCAGGGATAAACTTTGACTGCAAATCGTATGCCTCAACCCTTAAAGGTAACCCCTCAGCCACAATTGAATCATATGCATTATTTTCAAATCATTGCTACCATGACAGAAGATAATTTCTCAAATTAAAAACAGCAAAAAAATGATAATTGACATGCACCTATGTGAACAATGTACATGAACAACCACAAAGTTAAAAACTTCAGAGAACCTGAAAACCCTGAATTTAGTATTATTTCAAATGTTTTTTATATGCAAGAAGAGAGCTTTCAGTAGTAGAAAAAACTTGAACTTCAGGCTTTTGCCTGAAAACTTTTACCCATGAAAAATTAATGTAAAACAAGAGCTTTATGAAAAGAGCTTTCATCATTATCTTATAACCTGCTAGAAATGTAAATGATTTGCCTTCGTCACCAGTATCAAACCAGGCCAGCCTGCACATTGATTCAGTCGGACTAGGCTCTAAACTGCAGTCAAGGGGCCAATTACTAATGCATTAACAAGCATTCTGGCAAAGGTTATCCATTAAATTAGCATAACAAGAGCTGTTGGTAGGACAGCACGCTCGACTATTCTAAGTGCTTGATAGTGATAGACCCTTGATAATGTTAAATTTTCTAAGTTCACAAAAGGAGTAATTCTTTTTTTATAAATTCATGTTATAGGCCTTAGAGAGAGTCTAATTATACAGTATTGGCTTGACTATTTAGAAGGTAATGTCACAAGGGTGTTTTATTGAGTATAATAATACTAATTACCTATGAGTACATAAAATTGACAGAAAAGGTACAAAGGCTTGTTATTAAGATGTTTTATCAAGTAAATCACTGCTTTTTTATTATGAATGCATAAAATTGTCCCAAAAAAGGCACAAACCCTTCAGTAGTTATGGAGATAACAAGCAAAACTTTACCATGAATTTCCAAGTTGAAAAAGGGAAGAAAAATCAGCCTAAATGCAAGATAGAATTATGGATCTTTGTCAGTGACCTACAATTCTGACCCTAATTGCATATGTGAAGTTTTAAATAAATATCTTTAATAGTTATTGAGATATGTAAAACTTGCATGTAAACATTAACCAAGAGACTAAGTAAAAAAGGGGATATGAATCAGCCTTAATGCAAGATAGAGTTATGGAACTTGGTCAGTGACATACAATTATGACCCTCAAATTATGACCCTAAGTACATGTGTAAAGTATCAAGTAAATATCTTTTGAAGACCTTTAACCTTTAACCAAAATTTCTAAGTTTCAAAGGGGCAAATAATTCTGCAAATATTGCAGACAGAGTTATGCAATTTTGCAAAATGATGTACATTGTTACTATAAAAAAGTATTGTAAATTTCAATTGAATATCTCAAGCAATAATTGAGATATTTGACTTTACAAAAAAAACTTAAACCAAAACTTCTAAGTTTCAAAGGGGCATAATTCTGTCAATATTGTAGGCAGTGTTATCCAACTTGTCAATCTGATGTACCTTGTTACTATAAATAAGTATTGTAAGTTTCTATTGAATATCTCAAGCATAATTGAGATATTTGACTTTACAAAAAACTTTAACCAAAATTTCTAAGTTAAAAAGGGGCATAATTCTGTCAATATTGTAGGTAGAGTTATCCAACTTGTCAATCTGATGTACCTTGTTACTATAAATAAGTATTGTAAGTTTCAGTTGAATATCTCAAGCAATAATTGAGATATTTGACTTTACAAAAAACTTTAACCAACGCAAACGCTGATGCCCACGCCGGGGCGACTACTATAGCTAAAAATAATGCTTTAAACCTTTTGCATTAATCATTACCTTGCATTACTTGAAAAAGTATTGGCATTCATAATGCATTAGCATAAAATTTAATTCACCCCTTGTCTGCTATACTGTTGGAATCTCAATTTTGTATTTTGATATTCGAATCCCTTCAAATGGACGGTTCCAAAATTTTAACCAGGGCAAATTCATTTCATAAATACAACAAGTTAAAGGTCATTATGATCATGTTGAAAGGTGCAGTTCACAACCTTTTAACATTCCTTTTTACAACCACCGCAAGTATGTCAAAGCTTAGAGAAGACCTATTGATTTAGGGTGTCACTAAAACGTAATGTTGTATGATCAAGCCCTACTGGGATAAAGGCAATGCTTTCTTATATAACACAAGCCCTGGTTAGCCCAAGAAGAAAGCTCAAAAGTGATTTCAGTAAGCTTATATACATTGTTTAAACGAAGGTTAAACTCAATATTTTAAACACAATTTGTATCTTAAAACATTATGATGTCTTTATATTTATATTGCAACAAACATATTAAAAATATGTGTTATTCTGAATATAATAAGGTTTTTAACAGTTACACAATTAGGTTATCTATCAATGAATTTAATTTAATTTGAGCACTATTGGCAATCATGCCTTAAAAACTGATTAAGCTGGTGCTACAGGGTGCCAGAAATGATCAATTTTTCATTAACTCCCATAAACATATTATTTACTATTGTTTTCATAGCCTTTGAATAATATTCCTTTTTTCCCCAGATTTTTGCTTATACTGCAAGCATAGACCAAAGCTATTAAACACTTGTGTTTGACCTGTGCCAAGGTTTGACCAACTTGCTCTTGAACAGTGGTCTCATAATCTTAGTTTTTTTATATTATCCCTTTATTTAACAATCAATGGGCAGCTCTGATTCCAAGCGGGATAAATCCATTTCGACAAGAAAAGCAGGGTATTTAAGGTTGAACAACAATTTTCAGAAAGTCTGTTTTTACAAATTCTTGATATGAAAATTAGATATATTCACATTGTTTTCTTGAGAAAAATATTTGATAGAATTAATATGAATAACAAGATTCTTAATCAAGAAGACAACATATAAATAAACATAACATAAAACAATTTTGGTTCATAACTTACCTGGCTAGCACACTGATTGCATGCAAAATAACAAGAAAAAAATAATCATAACTCAAATATCATATATATAATGTTAGTATAATTATGTTACATGCCAGGCAAAAAGAATCCAGCTGAATGTAAAGTACCGATATTTTCGTAATATTCACTCTTGATTTGTAAAATGATTCTTGACGTACTAATTTTTTAATCATTAAGAGAAGTGAAATGTAAAATATCTTTGACATTCATCAAAATCACTTGTTTTATGAATTTAAAATATAACTTACTTTTAGAATCTATAGACTCCAGGGTTATTACAAGATGCATACATATACACCATTCTACACTGTTATGATAACCATACACTCAAATGGTAACTTTTTACCTGACAAGTCACAAATCACCCCTGCCCCACCCTCTTCTCCAAAAGCAGATATCATTTATATTTTTAATGACTGTATAGTTTCATTAATAAATGAACATTAATATAGTTATATAAAACTACACAAGTTCTAAAGAGTAGAAATATGCCAGCATTATGGTTTATAAAGTGCAAATTCGAAACGTCTTTTTTTCACACACAACAAAACAGGTAATTTCTTCATCATTAACATAATCTTTACATTCATCATAAACTGTTTAATGACTATGTCAAAATCACAGTGAATTTGAGTACTTACTAATTATTCCTAATACCAACCCACACCCAAAAATTTTGATAACTTTTTTTTTCATTTGCGATTTAACATAACTTTTATTTAAACTAAGAATTCACAATATGACATACCAGAGTACTAAATGCATATTCTCGCTCAAAATCCTCATTCCAGTCAATCTTATTGCTACTATCCAATTCCTTATCAAAGTCCAGTTCTTCCGTGCTCCAGTCACTTCCTGTACCTATCACAGACACATAAATATTTGTTTCAGCAAGGATGTATATTAACACATACTGGTACATGGTTTTTATTATTTACAGATTGGCAATCCGTATCATTGGTTAAAATGCTGTTAAAATTGGTTGTATTTTTAGCCTGTATATTAAAATTGTTTAATATCCCCCAAATCAGTTGTTTCAGTTTGCATATCTGTTGCCTCAGATAAAATGAAAACTCTGCTTGTAAAGAAATATAGCATCTTTAACTTTATCTTTATACTATGTACAGCACCCTTGTAAAAAATATTAACCCTCTGTATTATTAAAAATTATAAAACTGTACTCTTGTGAAGTTGTGTTTCATTGGATAATCTTGATGTTTTTATAATATATATATATATACATGGCTGCAGTCAATTTATTAAGTTATTTCATTTTTCCTCTAATGAAGGAAGAGTGCAGTATTATAAATTTGTTATTATAAAAGATTTTTGACAGGCTATATGGCTGTATACAAAAAGTTTATTTGCAATATAACCCAATCAACCATTAATTAAGTGCCATGTAAACTGTCAAAAATCTTTTTAACTACATGTAATAATATATCTAAAAGTATACCTTTTCAATTGTTTTGCCATTTTGTTTTTAGATGCTGAGCCAAGTGACTTACTTTCATTTTACCCTTATATTACAAATATCACTCATGTAAGGTTTTAAGTATTACACATATTGAAGTAACTGATTTAAAAATCTTACCTGTACTCAAATCACTGCTTATACTATCTGTTCTTTTCCTCATTCCGGAAAACCCGTGCTTTCTAGGCACATTCTTTGCTCCACTTCCTGAACTGCTCCTTGGCATTGGCGGTTTTCCAACATTACGTCCACTCAGATTAAGTTGCTCGGAGCTATGACTTCTCTCAAATACCATGGTACCGAGATTTTGTGGGTCCGGGTAGTACCCGTCCTCATCTTCAAATCTCTCAGACTGATTCAACTTGTCATACGATCGTGATTTAGTTTTATTTGGTGTTCTTCGGAACCTTTCTAAAATTTGCTGTTTGTTTATGCCAGGCTTTTCGTCAATCTTGTTTTTATTTTCTTCCATGCCAACTGGCGCTGTATCTTTTCTGTCTGCCTCCTGACCAATTGTGCTTGGTCTTGATGGCACTATATATAATTCTTGATCATTTTTCACATCTTTGCTTTGTTTATTGTCTACATTTGGTTTATCATCCTGTTTTGGCGCTACATTTTCCTGTTTAATTTCACGATTATCCACTTTTGACCTCTGTTCTTTTGTTTCATTTCTATTTCCAACAAGACCTCTATTATTTCTTCCATCATTTTGTCTGACATTTGACCTTTGATTATGTCTTTGACCCCGACCTCTTGAATATGACTGACCGTGACCTCTTTGACCCTTAGCATAGTCTTGTTCATTGTTTCTGGTATTCCTGTTACCGGTTTTGACTGGTTGCTCAACATTTTTCTCTGGTGTAACTCTGTTACCAGTATCTGATTTATTATTAACAACAGTAACTTGCATATTTTTCAGATCTATTTTCCTCGGTGATGGTGACTGGGGAGCATGTAGAAGAGCAGAAGTTGTCGGCCCGGGACTCGGACTATGGACTGTGTTAGGACTTGGACTAGACATATCGTCCTCCCAGTCGCCAGAGCCTTCCCCGCTGGCATCAGTGACCGGCTGCTGCTGTTGCTGTTTTTCCAGTCGACCTTTTGGAACATAGCGCGGCATTTCTGGTTTCTTTTTCCGTCTCGATTCCTCACTTCTACGGTTCCTCTGATGATCACCAGGTGTCACTTTCATGTCTTGGATACCAGAATTTACTGCTGCCAGCTTAAAAAGACAATGCAATTATTGTAAAAGAGGAAGTAGACAGCAATTTAATATAAAGTAGAACACCCTTATAATCAAATTGTCATGTTAAATACTGATATCATTTTCTCATACCATATACTTACTGCTTTAGTTTGACTTTATATTGACATATACATTTGATAACTTCCCAGTTATCTCATTTGATAATTTTCCAGTTATCTCATACACTTGACATAAGAAGTTTCTTTCTACACTTTATCAAGGTCATGTAAGCACCACTATTATATATTGCACCACTATTATATTTTCAATAAGCATTCAAGCAGATCCATCAGTCTTTTGTTAGCTAGCTAGCTGATGTACTGAAAGAATTTTGTAACATCATTAAATTTACCATATAGGGCTAAGCTGACATTGGTGCAAAGGAAGAAGTTCACAGTCAATGTCCTTAGCTCCTACATACTTCAAATTATGTGACCCAGAACAGTGTTACACTCCATTATATTACTGATTACAATTACATCACCCTCTTAGTGTCATTTATCTCTACATCTTATTAACTTAAAAAGCAGCACCTAATCTAAAACGATTGAGAGAGGACATATTTTAAGTTCAGAATTGTGAAAGAGAAGCTTGTAGATACTATACCTAACCCTGCTAGAATGAAAAGAGATTAGCCTTTGCCACTAGCATAGAGCCAGCCATGCCTACACATCTTTGCCATCTCACACGGATCTATACAGTTGCTTTCTTATTCTGATAATGAAATCCCATAATTTTCTAATGGAATGCTCCAAATTCAAAATCGGGCAAATCCAATCAGCAGATTAAAGGTTACTCAACTTTATGATTTACCTCTTTTTCCACACTGTTTTCCTTTGATGAGGAATCAGATACCAGTTCATTCTCCCAGTTTTCCTCTGATATATACAGCTCAGTTTCTGCAGCTTTACTCCCTACCTTCTCTGGACTGGATTCTAAGAAGATAAACCATGACAAAGATTAAAATTGAATGTGTAGATCTTCAATAAATATTACATATATCAGTGATTTACAAGTTCTGTAATTGACAATTTTTTTAATCTTCTCTTGAGAATGAAGAACTTTTGAAATATATTTTCATGTACTACTATGCAAATACTGCATCTTATATCCTAAGATAAACAAATGTTTATCAAAGAGTTGATCAAAATATACATGTATTTCATAAAAATTCAGATATTCCACTTATTTCAGACTATGCTTTGGCATTCTTTCATTGCCTTTATTTTTGTGGTACTGCTCTTTTAAGTAAACAGTAAACACACATAAAAGTTAAGACATCATTATGCAATCATTTCAGCCTAATAAATATATGTAGCTTGGGCTGTCATTAAATATCTTGCTTTTGAAATATCGAATCACAATTTAGAATTTAGAGATAAAACTTAAAACTCTTTTCTTCATGTCTTGTTTTGTAAAAGTATTACTCTTATTTGTTTAAGGGAAAATGTCATTTTTCTCCCATTTTCTTGCCTAGTTTGACTGTTTGAACACAAGGTTTAATTTTCAGGTCTGTAAGATATGATACCAAGAAAACATACTTTATTTCGGTATGCTGTGTTTGTGATGTATAAATCATGCTTGCCTTCACCATGATAATAAATAGTTTCATAAACGTATTCAAATGTACCAGCTATTTAATTCACTTTTGATAATTATAATTATATCGATAAAATTTATCCATCAATGACAGCCCTATAAATAGTGAATCTGAAAGTTTATTTTACCTTTTTCACTTCCATGATCAGTTTGCTTGTCTGATATTGCTCTGTGAGGTGGTCTATAGATACCTTTTGATGGCCTCTTTGCTTTCTTTTCCTGGTCTCTTTTCTTCTTGTCTTCTATATAGGAAAAAAAATCATCATGAAAACGATTTGTACAAATCTATCCTAATTGAAATGAAAGAAATGAAATACTATCATATACAACTTTATTTGACACACTGAACACTATTTGAGTCATTCTTTAACCTTATCAGGAAAATTACAGTTTGTTGCTCAATTTCTTTAACATCAGAATACTCTGCTGGTTCCCTGCCTACATCTACTTCTGAAAGTAGGCATAGTGTAGGGGGAAAGGAACTCCGAGTAGAACCACCAAGGAGTATGATAATCGCACCCATGTTTTAACAAAGTATTACAGAAAGGGCAAAAAAGGTTGTGATTGATATTTGTCTTAAATTTTGGCTAAAAAATAAATACCTCACATCATCATTAGAAAAATACCATAGGCAAATTTTCAGCCTTAAGTAAACAATGGGAAAAAAACAAAGATAAAAACAAAGATAAAAACAAAGGGATTGGCTCAGAAAGTTTTGAATATATTATATCATAGAACATTAATATGAAATTAGGCAAAGCCTGTGAACAGGGAAGTCGTTCTTTTTTACTTTACATTTCCCATTTTATATGTTGCATTCAGTATTTCATGCACTGCATCTGTTTTTGCTTGGAACACTTCAATGATAATTAATAAAGCCGAAAATTTGAGATTTCTGTTCTTGGAATACTCTGTCTATTATCAATGATTAACATTAGAACTAGAAGCACCCAACTAGACATGACACTGTGAATTTCACTGATAAGTATAGAAATCTATATACATGTACATTTTTTAATTGTTTTTTATTTAATTCCTTTTAAATATACATGTGTAGTCTACAGCCTCTCACAAGTCTAAAATCTTCTTGGCGATGACCCCTAAGCAGAAGGGGGCAAATCCTCCATCTGCCACCCCTGATGTATCTTTTTGATAGGAGACAGTGCCAAAAAAGTGATCACTTTTTAACAGCATTTCTCAAACCAAAAAAAAATTTCAGGGCTACAAAGGGCATTTTATCACCATTTGAGGCCTTAAAAATGGAGCGGGGGGATGACTGTATAGAATTTAATTGATGCTTTTAATAATGAATATTTTGTGTTTGTGTAAGCAGAACAAATTCAAACAATAATTTTATTTTTTCTTGAATGTGGTCAAATATTTTTAACTTCACCGTTTATATCACATCACATGACAAAAAATTAGAGTACGTCGGTAATAGAGTTGCGCCGATCCACATCTACATCAAACTGCTTTAAAATCGTTAATGATTACACTAAGCAGGTGTGTTGTCTGGGAAGAGCTGTTAAAAACAAATGCAGTATACTGATGGCACCCTACAAGCCAAAGCCCTTACCCACTTTGAATTAAAGTTGCAATGACAAAGTCATTTATTTACATTAAAAACATTCAAAACTGTTTTATAACATTAAATGAATACTGAATGATTAATGAATCCCCTGAAGGCCAAACAGGTGAGTTTGTCAAAAAGTTTATGGCATAACTTTCAATAAACATTTTCTCACTCACTTACCTAAGCACTTATTCCAAAATGGAAATGCACAAATAAACCATTTAATTTCAGATTATAATGACCTCATAATCTGAAATGTACGACTAACGCCAATTTTATTCAATTTCGAAGATTTTGCGAAACCGACAAAATTTCAAACTGAAAGTAAAATATTTGGTCGAATACGACCGAATTCGAAATATTACCCATCTAATATTCGACAGATAAATCGCAACTACCTTCTTTAATCTTTCTATTCTTTTCTTCCTCTTCTTTTTCTTCATTTGATTGAGCAATATCTTCTAATTCCTTGTACGTTATTCTAACAACATCTGACTCAGCGGCCATTTTTGGAAAATACTTTTATTTGTCTCCTAAAATGAGAGTTTGAGATTACGTCCCTTAGTTGATCTTCTTACTGAAAACTGAGAAGTGTTATAAGTGACATATCGCGGGAAATTTTAAACCATATTCATTGTGTGTAAGTTGTATTTTCAGTGTAAAATATAGATTTTCTAGATTATCATTATAATATTTATTCTATTGGTTTGCTCTGTGTTATTTTAAATATATTTACAAGATCAATAACTTGGGAAAATTTTGTCGTCTGCTACAGCATAGTCACTTGACCATGTTCATGCCATCATATCATTATCACATGATGGGACCCGTCACATAAAGTTATAAGAATTATACATTAATTTACAGTATGTAATATATACATATGAGTCTTTTATGAGTTGATAATTGAGTACCGCTCAAGCCGGTGCTAGGGGGCGTGAGGGATGTTGTACATTTTCATTATCCCTCATGTATCCCAAAACAACCAATTTTCAATCACAACCTAAATTCAAACACATTCTTAATTCTGTGGAGCGGATGCCATGTATGACTAAATTGCTTAAAGTCACATGTTGTATTAACTTCACACTTGCAGAACATTAACACTTGCAGAAATGCTATACTTGATTAATTGTCAAATGTTATCAGAAAAACAATAAGAAACTGTTTGTTTAAAGTGACACAATATAAATTGTCCGATTTCAACTATATCAAATAAGTCACTTGATTAAAATATTGATAAAATTTTCTTAGCATTTTATTTTTTTTTATAAAGTATTGGCTACCAAGTTTTACCATTTACCTCAGTCTTGTGTGTATTTAAAACATTTATTTACATGATGTACCACTAAATATTCATCAAACTTTACGTAGGGGTCCTTATTAATAAAATCTGAAATTGTTATCAAATTCTTTCATGTGATGATTGTAGAATACATTTTTTGTAAGCGATACTAGCTGGCAGGTCTAAACAAATTTACACATTTCCTAATATTATAAAGTGGGGAAGATTATATTATAATTTTAGGTAAAATTGCTGTAAATATTGGATGCATTTATCATTTTGCACCCCAAATAGTGTACTTAGAAGTGACACCTTTAACTGCCCTTTTTATATACATTAACAGTAGTCATACCAATGCACTATACTGTACATATGTTATAACATTTAGTGAAAGTTTTTTAAAATTTTGAAAAAAACTATTGAAAATCGTTGAAGAGACTGTTGTGAAACTTTCTACAATTTTTAGTAGCCCTGATTTATCTTGAACAAAATTTTCAGTGGTGGTTACTCTGCTGTTTGAATTTAGGTTAAAATATTCCTGGCAGTGACCCGAGTGGGTCATATCGTATTTATTGTTTTTCTATGAAAGATCAAGGCATGTTGAAAATGTACCAACCTTATAATGAATAAATGTTGATAGATGAAATAATAGCTAAAATAAATTTAAAGCATAAGTTCCCCTTCCGTTTATTATTGACTAAAAACAGCTTAACTGATTGAATATTGGTTGTTCCGGGATACAGACTCAATCAAACCGAGTCTGCAATTCTCTTGTAATTTTGTTGTGATAAATGCTTCCGAGGGATCACTTTGTTTCCAGATTTTTAGAAGACTTTTAAAAGTTGTATCTAATCACCATAAATGATTTGACAGTATTTATACAGGCTACAGTAAGCTGCGTGTTTTTTGTTGTTGTTTTTTTTGACAACTATTATATTATATTTTCTTCCATAGCACCATTTCCTGCAACCGTTTTTATTAGTTTTATGTAAAATGCAGTAGATCTAGGTAGAAATGACCAAAAATTACATTTGATACCATAATTTTAAACAAGTTGCAGAACTGATCTTGCCAGATGCAAAATAACCGAAAACGCCCCCGACAAAATGTCAGCTCAGAACCCCAGACTGGTCAAACAGGATTTCGACCCGGACCGTCAGGAGCGGCTGGATACTCTGGTATGCTTTTCAATCCTTCTTATTTCAATATAGTGCAATAGTACCAAACATCACAGTTGTATATATACAATGTATGTCAAACCTGCCACCGCTATCGACTAAGGTCCGTCAAGATTAAGACCTAGATATATTTTTTTAAAAGATAGTCGCTCAAGGCAATCAATTTTAGATTATAGTTAGTTGTAATAAAAAAAACAGGGTGAACGTTAATGGCACTTGTGCATTATAAGATGTATTCGGAGATGCTCTGAGCATAGAGACTGCTCTTTGTAAGTAATAAGATAACGATTCTAGTAAATGGCATGTAGTTTTTATCACTATGTCACCATAATTGAATGAACTTACTGTTTAAAGGTTTGATGCCGGTTGGTGGTTTTGTCGGAAACAATCAGCAAAGAGCAAATTTGCCAACATCTGGGCGAGGAGCAGCCACGTTCAACAGATCGGCCTCGAGCTCATACAATAATGGTTCAAATTTTCGTTTTACTAGAATATTTGATTAAATGCCCCATCTAGAAACTATTTTATTGTAAACTTTATTCTCATTTCTCATTATCAGCAGTGCATGGAACTATTGCTGTCATCACGGCTTTTATGGAAGCTTTGCTTTCATGTAATGCTTTCATGTAAAAAAGTAACAACAGATTATCAAACAAAATATACAATTCAATTTAGACATGAAAACTGCTGAGATAAATCTATGCAAACTCTTTACTAGTATCAATTTTTGTTTCAAAGTATTTTTGAGTACACATATAAAGAGAAACGCCACTCTGCAACATGACTGCACATTATAAAATACATACATAATTATTATGATATTTTGTGTTTGCGTAATTTTCAGCTCGGAGCTACCCGCCACAAGGACAAAATTATAAAAGGACCGATCCAAATACCAATGCCCTATCTTCATCTGCACAGTACCAACAAGTTGTACGTAAGAATACCGTTCAAAACAGGTAAATATTCTAATTAAGAATTTAATTCTTCAACAACAACAACAACAACAATACAAAATAATGATAATAAAAAAGAAACATCAAAACAACATTAATTGTACTACGATGGTCGGGCATTGTGCTTGAATAATACATGTTTCATTTACTTCAGTTATGAGGATTTTTCTTCTTTTCTGTTTATTTCAATTACGCGTTACTCTAAATATTTCATTTTATATCGCTATTAATCGCTTTTCAGAATTGGTTGCATAATACTGGTACGAACATAATCAAAGTTCATCTCCATTATTCATTAGCAGACATACATATTTTACCTACTAGTATTATCTTACTATTTTTACGATAATTAAATCCGAATTTATTTTGATATTCAACTTAGTAGGAATATTCCGACTGGAACAGGGAGAGCCGCCCCTCTACCGCACATTTCTGTGTCCTCAAATAATCATACATCAACGTGTTATCCAGCCAACCAAAATGGTCCTTATACTGGGCACAGTAACGCTAGTATATATGGGGGAGGTGTAGGAATGAATCGGAACAACTGGGGATGTGACCAACAGCCGCCGCCGTATAACAACACTAACTTGATGGGGAACAGCTCACGGGTTGCTTCCTATGGCCGCAACAACTCTTTTAACCAGGGAACCAACTCTTACATGCCAAGAAACGAAACAAATGCTATGTATCAACAACCCCCCATTCAGCAAACATATCCAAATCAACAAACACATCCGAATCAGCAACAACAATACATGCCATGGTCTAACCAAGAAATGCAACCGTACAATGTCTATCAACAAGGGAATTTAGGTAAAGAAAACGACCTTAGTTTAAATTCAATTTCACTTTTTTAACTTACATTTTACCGGGAAATATAAAGATGAATAAAATTTGACAATTCTATTATGTTTAGAGTTATGTCATGTTAACCATTGAATTATAGTTATCAATTTTTCATATTTGTATTTTTATAAATCCGGAAGACGAAGTTTTTATTTCTAATTTTTATGTTCTCACTTTTGTCTCTTTTTAATAATATTTAATTCTACTTGTTTATAATAGTAACGCTTAGTCCTTTCAACACAGTACATATTTGTAGGTATGAATGTTATGAATTGTTTAATATTTCATATATTATTGTATTTCGACTGTTTTATTCATCTGCAGGTTTCATTCAAAATCAGGCACAAGAAATTTCTGATGAATGGAATAACAGTTTCACGGAGCAGACACCAGCGCCTGTACAGACTGCAAACAAAGTGAATAAAAATGTAGCTAAGGTTGTATGTCTTCTAAATGTACAAATGTTTGTGCATTTTCATTAACGTTTTCATAATGCAATACTATATCATAATATTTTTTAGAGCATTACTTTTAGTGCATTGCTAATCAGTAAGTTTCAAATTTTTGTTGGTTTGATTGGGTTTTATGTCATACCGACGCAGTATAGGTCATATGGCGATGTTCCAGCTTTACTGGTGGAGGAAGACCCCAGGTGAACTTTCAAATAATAAAGATGCTGATAATGATGATGACGGTAATAATAATAATGGTGGTGGTTGTGATCGTGATGACGATTGTTTTGTTCTTTACAGTATTGCAAAACACAGGTTTCGTTATCGTTTTCAAGTCCATGTTGCTATGAAAACTGAATTTCAAATTGAAATAAGTGATAAATGATTTTAAAAAATGAAATATTTGAAAGCAGTGATTCTGTTTTTGTTTTTACAATAGAAGAACACTGACCAGAAAACAGCGTTAATGGAGCTGAAGAAAAGTCTTCATTTCCTTACGGTAGACGTTGCAGAGATGAAACATTGGAACAAATTCAAAGATTCAGTTCAAATCATTTTCGAACTCTTTGGTATGAAAGAAGATTTAGTATAGGTTTTGGTACACTTCTTAATGCTGTAACAAATACTCGTAAATGGTTTTCAAGGTTTCAAAATTAATTGGCAATGCGCATGAAAGAAATCCGTTTAGTCATATTGACATAAACACACACGTACAATGTATAATGTATAATGCAGACATATATAGCCCATTTAAAAATGTCTTTAAATATTATATGAAATATAATGTAAAATTTCTTCATACATATAAGAAACAGTGATATTTTTCAGAATATAGATTCTCAACATAACAAACATCATTGATATACATGTATTTGGCAATGTTTCCTGTATATATTTTTTTCTTGTTCATAGTTGACATATAACTATTAAAATTATCCATGCTAGGCCAAGATTCATCTCAATGATATATAATTCAAATGTTTCTAAATTACACCAACAAGGGATTGAATTTGGTTAACGGGTTTTCTTTACCAAAACTTCTCAATTACGTGAGCACAATCTTTAAAGTAAAGTATTCTCTAAGATCGTCGTTTATACTAAGATAGTTTTCAAATTTATTTAAACCTTTTCCTCAAATTTACAACTTTTTCCAGTTTAGGCATAGATCGTGTAGATGCTGAACAATTGTGTAAAATTTGATCGCTTTAACGAATCTTAAACATTAGTTAATAATCACAAATTTTATAAAAAAAAAAACAACGAAAAAAAAAACAAACCCAAAACAAATGAGTAAAGAGTGAAAACCATTTAATTAAATTACAGTACTTAAAAACATACAATATATAAAAAATGCAATGTAAATGACTTTACAGAGTATTTCCAATTTTAAAATTGAAGACATCCATTACACAGTTGGTCAGTAACTCAAAATCATTTTGCATGGTCATAAACTATTGTTTTATTAACTAACGGGTGACTTTTTTGTCTGATTTGTAGGACAGCTCGACTCAGCGACGACAAAAGGCAGTATGGAATGTAAAGAATTTCTAATTAGGGACGAGAAAAAGAATGATGTCACTTGCGTTTTCTATGAAATAGTAAGTGATTTTGCATCAGTGAATATATGAGACTCCGTCTGTTTTGGGTAAACGTGTAGACTTTATATCATTGACAAGTAGGAAAAGTTCAAAATGAACGGACATGTGCTTTCACAATAAATTGTAATCCAAATTTATGAAGTGTTAGAAATACTGTTTTTAGGGACAACGTCCCAATTAACAATATAAGTATATCACAGAAAAAACCCTGTTTTCAAGATTATATATAGAAAATATCTCACTGATGAATGCATTTCATTTATAAGAAGGAAGTCTGCAACGTTTAGAATTTTTTTATTTTGCATTATAATTTTGATTTTTGTAATTATTTTATTGCATTTGTAACTAAATACATTTTCTTTAAATCCATGAAGCATTCAAACAATTCAAATTTACATGTAAGTTTTACAAGTCTGAAAATGAACACGGTATAATTTAATGTGTATTTATAACAGAGTAATTTTCTCTTTTTCTCCTGCTTCTTTTACTTCTTCTTTTTCTTCGTCTTATTATTATTTATACTACTATGCCATCTTTATGAATACTATGTTTTCCAACGCAGAGCCCTTGTTTCGATTTTTGTCACTTTAGTGTACTAACGTGTGATATTTAGGTAAAAGTTTTGTCTTGAAAGTGTAGAAAATGCAGAGATTTACCGAATAATTAAAATCGATCACTGTATGTAATCATTAAATCATTTGTCACGGATACTCTCTCTCGATAAATTAGTTAATGACTATTCGGATACAAAGTATCATTTTTTGGTAATTACACTAAGTTATTGATCTCAACATGTCCATCGATCAAAACATCAACATTTATTGTGATTTTATATCGATCACCTAAGGTCACATATGTCGAATTTGAAAACAATACCAGCGTTATTTCTATACGTGTGTACGTGCGCTATTTACTAGTTGTCTGTTGTTTACAAATTGTATATAATCCAAAATAGACATCTAGAAGGATGTCCCTATAGGTATATAGAAACAAAGCCGTAATTTCGTATCATTAAATTGGCAAATTGGTCATTTTTTCCTGCTTTTGTTATGGTAATGGTAAACAATTATGTTCAATTTGTTTAAGAACCTACGTGTAATTTTATAGAAATTTCCAAAATGTACCCTTTGATTAAACAAACTAGTGTTATTTTATTTACAAATGTTTGTGTTGGATTCCATCTTTGAGCGGTTTTACTTTCAATACACATTCAGCACAAATGCATTTTACAACACGTCATATATTTTTTCAAATGAAACAATATTCTAGATTGCATACATTGAAACAGCAAAATATGAACGATACAATTTTTAGCAGGGATTATATTTTCTTTTATGAATTTACAAGCTGTATACTGACAGAGCTGTTTTTCTCTAAAAATGATTTTTTAACCTTTTTTTTTAAACTTATTTTTCTTAATCCTTTGACCGAAATATAAGCACTTTCTTTAAGTAAAAAGCCTGAAAATGGAAATAATTTGACGGAGGACCACATATTTTCATTGATTGTATAATAAATATAGTTTGATATTTTATGATTTAAGGATCGTCAGCTGCCGAAGATTACCAGGGGACAGTGGTACAGGTATGTATAGGCATGGACATGTACAACATGACTGGCTATAGAATGTCGTTTTAGATATTCAACAGCTATATATCAAAATATACATATTTTTGTATCAACGGTAAGCCCTTAACCTGCTGAATTTGTGAAATGGATTAGCCCGGCTTTGGAGTTGGAACAGTTCATTCAATGTTTAAGGGGTTTCAAAATACAAAAAATTGAGCTATAAACATTATGGAGCCTGGTCACACTGCAAGGCTGTGCATGCTTGTCTTGCTTTTTACAGAGAGCAAAGCCGTCATAGGTCAAAGATATGTCTGTTGTTTTTGAAAAAAAACATGGAGGTTTCTTCAAGGAATTTCATTCTATTTGTTTGTGAGACAAATGTTATTTTACTGATTTTTACAAAAACACACACTTGATAGGAGCATATTTAGAGATATTGGAACATAATCTTTTTACATAATATACACCTGGAAATAAATTAAGCACACCCGCCATTTTGCCTCAGTTTTGACTTGACCACAAATGAAAATTTAAATTTTATTTTGGCAATGGTACGGACCACATGTAGTCACACAAGCTCTGCACCAAGAATGTCAAAATTTACCTCAAAATCGCTTTAACGCATTACTGGTAGTATGAGGAGAAGGGTTTAGGCTATCATCGGTTTACGTGGTGGTTATACACGTTATTAAAAATTGGCTACATAATGTCATTTTAGGTTACGTAATCGTCAACATTTACAAAAAATATCCACCAATAAATGTTTTGTAAACGCTCCAACACCATACTTATAAACACTTACATTTTTGGTTAAAAAAACAACACATTTGCTTATGCTTCAATAATTTGGTTAAGAATAAACTAAACTTATAAATTTACTTGTTTATGATTACTAAATTGGTATCGCTACTTATCAAATTACTATTTCTTAGCTCAATTAAGTCGTCATCTCATGACAGTGCTTTCAATCACAACCAATTTTAAATTTCCGGGGTGTGCTTAACTTTTTTCGAGGTGTATATATATAGATATGTATTGAATTCTCATAAATTCACTTAAGTGCACATTTATAAAGTTATTTTTAATTGTTTGCACAATATGCACAGTTTACACAATTGCATTCTGAATGTTCTGGATTCTTGAACATTTAATTTGTGTCTACAACTTTTTATTATGGTTAACTGTTATACAAACCGTTGGGCGTACTCAAAGTAAAGATAGGTGGGAACAAAGTTACGTTTTCCGTGCTCTCTTTAATATTGGCGAACCGCAAACATTCAATTTGTCACATTTGATGAATCAAACCTATTGCCAATAAATTCAGTTTCTTTGATTTCTAGAGCATTAACAACGCGTGAATTAGTCATGTGCTGTAAAACATCTTTACTGTTTTCTACTTATTTTGCTTTTATTTAACAAAGATTTTGCGTTATTTAATTTAAAGAAAAAGGAAACATACAAAGAGATTTAATGGTGCGTATAAAGAAGATTTAAATACATTTGTACTCCAAGTCTGGATAATGTGTTTCTTTTTTCTTTGTATGGGGAACAAAGTTCTACTTTTCAATAACAGATATGCATCTTCAGTATTTCAAATATTTTTTTCTCCATAATTCCATATATAAAACTGTTGATATTTTGATTTCACACTGCATTTGCAATACCTAAAGAAGCTTGAACTTCATCAAATTTTCTGTTTCTTTTCACATTTGTTTCGTACAAGACTTCTTTAATAAACGTTTTTGAAAATTGATCGGTTCTACCGAACTTTCAAAAAATGGTTCTCCGGAAGCGTGGAACTGACCGCATGCACTTCCTGTTGCACCGCGATACAAAATAGTTTTTCATGGTTTTCTTTATGTCTTTTTATAGAATTGTGGGGACTTATGACGGAACAAAGGAAATATTCCATTGTTTATCTATCAGATCGTTACAGTCATCGGAGAAGAATACAGCATGCATACTGTCACAGAAAAGTACAGAAACAATGCGCAAGCTTACCAGTACAATGAGGGAATCCTGAGCGAGTTCGGAATTATTAGACATTTGTGAAATCATAGATAATTAATGAAAAATAAACGTTCATGTTATTAGGAAGACAATTTGTCGGAAAATTTAAACATGATTTACCTGTAAATTGTCAGTACAGAAGTGATTTTTTTTAAGATTCATGTTTATTTTCGCAGTTGTTGCACTTCTCTTTTAATAAATACAGGTATGTACGAGAAATGTGTTTGAAATCAATAAAGTATACGATTGTAAATTAAACAAATTAAACTAGAAAAAAGCGAGGAAACGTTAAATTAAGATGTTGTTTTTTTTCTTCCCTTTTTTCAATATTCTTAGCACATTGATAATTCTTACTTAAAGTTAACGTACAGAAATTTATTGTAAATTCTATTGGTATTTTCAAACCTTACGTTTGAATTTAATTCCATTCAAACAGGTTTATTTCACAGTTGTCATTTTTCTTTTTGTCATTTGATTTAAAGTATTTTTAATCAGTAAAAAATCCAAAGTATTTTTTCACATTTTATTCACAATTCATAGTCAATTGTAACATAAACAAATTTGAAAATTATAAAAATGTACAAATGTGATATGAATTTAACATATATACAAAATGATTAAAGTTTATGTCGAGCTTCTTTTCTTTGTGTGCCGTCTATTCATCGGGATGACTGAAGCATATCTGAAAATAAACAAATAAAAATTTGAATATAAATGTTTTGAACAAATAAAAAATTATTCTAGATATATTATTACATGCTGAAAAAAAAAACCCAACAAAATAGTAAAGACATTTCCTGTTTTCATACTAAAAGTTCCTTATTTTTGTTTTTGTTGTTTTCAAATAATATTTCCATATAAGCCGGCAATTTAAGAAGTTCCTTCTCTCCCCGTATATAATTTCTTCAAAATGCAGTTTCAGAGTTTTAAGCTTCAATTTGGCGGGAATCTTTGTTCATCTGTCCCTTTTCCCTTCATCCAAGCCGGTGCGGGAATGCGATAGCAGACCAAAGAAGTATCCAAATCCTGCAATCGTCGTTCTGTTGATGGAAGTAAAAACCTATATTGTGTCGTTTTCTACAATTCCGTTTTCTCTACAATTGCAGAAACGGACACAATACGGGATTTACTCATTCTTTTTCGCGGACAAATGTTCACTATCTCCGTCCGTATGTTCCTTGTTGAATTATATTCTTCCTGCCACCATATATCCTCGTGTATATTTATTTTAAATACAATGTATATATCCGCAAAAAAAATGTACGAATTTTCATACCGCTACTCGTCACTGTTTATCCCAATGGAGATTGGTTCCAGAATTTTATTTGTTTTTCTATGTCCGTAAATGTATTGAGTAATTTGTTTCTTGCCTTCAATCCATTTTGGTTTGATTTATATTTTCCAATTTACAAAAATATTTTTATCAAAATAAATTAACAAAAAATGTTCAAAGTAATACTTCTAAATATATTATTTTCATTATTTGAACTATTTTCTTTTCTTTTTACACAAATTCTCACAAACATGAGCTAATTTGTTCTTTGAGATAACCAGACTCTGTCAAAAGTTTGCAATATTCATGTATTAAATTTTTTTTAAATTTATATAATGCAATTAAATAAGGTAAATAGATATATAAAAATTAACGCCTGATTAAATTCTCTGTGCGAATGGAACATATATTACTGCTTTAATTCTTTTAAATGAATAAATAAATAATTGCATTATCAGAATTGTTTTTGAATAGAAAAATATTTTTTTTGTGTGTAAAAATAGTTAGATAAATAACTTTAAATATCTTATAATTATTATCAAAATCAGTGAAGGAAAAAAGAAAGAAAAAATACAAGGTTACAAATTAAATGCATAACATGAGTAACCTCAACAACAACAACAAAAATATCATCGTGACAAAAAAAAATACAATAAAGAAAAAAAACTAAAAAGAATATATACCCCTAAAATAAAGTCCAGAACAGAAGGTACATCCCAACACCTTCATATGGTACATTATGACTGTACATCCTAATTACAGATAATATATAGTCGATCACTTACGTAATAAGACTGATCTAGACGGTCATATAACTGACCGGACAATAGTAATAAAATATTAGTTTTATGACTACACGAGGCTTTGAACCCTTAAAACAAAGCGTGAAAATTGCATTCCTACATCATAACTGTGTCTAAAATGTTAATGTCCAAACTTTCTCGACAGCTGGGCTAAATGACATCTACATTTTTCTCGTCAAAATACATAAATACCTGAATTGTAATCGCTTAGACTTGATGAATTAGTCAACCAAAAATAATCAGAAATGGAAAATAAATTTGAATTTGTATTATTGTTCTTTTTTTTCTCTGTCTGTGTTAAGAATAAGAAGTGAAGCAAAGTAATTTGCTTGGTAATGGCACATGATGCAGTTTCTGTATTTGTATTTAACATTTATATTTGTCATTTAAGAAATATTCCAGTAAATAAATTTGTAACCTTGTTACACTTGCCAGGCGATATCATTACAGGTATTTGTGAAATAAAGAAACCAATGAATATAGTTAATAATGTGATAATGAAAATTGAGGGTTTACTTACATTTATCAAAATCTGTTTTCAGCAAGACTTTCTTTAAGATTTCTGACTAAACTGCTCGTTTCTTTCTCTTCGATTTGTGTCAGGGATTCTTTGTGAGATACTGCTTTCCTCAGAATTGGTTTGCCCGTGCTTTCTTGCCTTTCGAGATCGCCAGTTCCTCTGGTCAGATTATAGTACTGTTTAGCGCTGCACTTTGGTGTGGGACAAGGAACTACATCATCAAACAGTTTGAAATTTGCTCTCCACTTTCCATGCTCGTGATCGAATTCTACAATGTTCTCAAATCTATAACCCCAGATAATGTCTTTAGATGTGTACGAAGTTCTCGCCTGACAAATTTCACCGGTAGATTCAATTGTTCCTTCTAGTATAACTACAATCTCGAAATTGTTGCCATTCAAAATGTCTTCTGGTTTCATGTTAAATAAAGGACTGTCTTCATTTATTTTATGGCTGAGTACAAGCGGCCATATTAGGAAAACCCTATCGTCCATACCATGAGCCTGGAAGTCCATGTGATGCTGAAACAATGGATAATGCACACCTTCTGCTGAAACTTTGTCTTTGATGAATATACCATAAACTCTCGTGTCAACGAGATGTGACTTTCTCAAGTCTCCTAGGCGCACGTGAAGTACCATTTCACCTTCTTCCTTGACGATGGTTGCTACGCTGCTGTAAACAAGGGTCTTCCTACGGTTCTTTGGGCGGGCAAACTTGACAAGCATAAAACCGAGAAGGATTGTTTCGAGTAGAAAACCAAGGGTGACTTGCAGATATACTAACGGAAGAACTCCCATACATTCGGCATCCGGCCACACAGTTCCAAATCCTATCGTAGTTTGAGTCTCGATAGAAAAGAGGACTGCGTCTGCGAAGTTCCTCATGTTATGAATACATGGGTAATAGCCTTTCTCACCGTAATGCGCGAAATCTCCATGCGAATATGCAATAACGTACCACAAAATTGCAAACAGTAGGTAACTCAGCATAAAGAGGGCAGCGTAAACGACCAAAACATATCTCCATTTCATGTCAATTAAACTCTGGTACATATCCATGAAGAATCGTTTGCTTCTTTGGCCCATACCTGAAACAATATTAGAAAATAATATTTGTAAATATTCGTTTGTTTATACAATTCTTTACACGTACAGTTTGATATATTAAATAGTTTTAGTTTATTTTATTACCTTGTAGCTGTTAGTCTTAAAATGTCAAATTTTTGTCTGTCTTTAGATCACTATGATTTTTTTAAATTTATTTTAAACATATTTATTTAAGTTTTATTCTGAATCAAGTTTTTGCAACTCTATTTATTATTTCGGAACCTTTTTTGCAGTATTGATGTAGTATGAGTCCTGACCCAAGTTGGAATCGAATCTATGTTTATTAAGTTCAGAGGCAAATACTATAACCACTAGATAAACTTTCCATCGAAAGGGAAATTGATAATTTAATTCTAATAAACTTATTAACATAAGACATTGTGCTTAGAATTAAACAGGCTGATCACAAATTAAGATTTAACAAGAATAACTTGAAAATATAAAAACGTAGAGTTGGAAAACTATAGTACACTGTAACAGTACTGTACGCACATTATTTTAGATCTGGATTTACAGCATGAGGATGAGTAAAATAGTAGATTTTAGAGTATAGAGCCACATATTTAATGCATTCTGCTACATTTCGACCATTCAACTTTGAAAAAGTAATAATAAGTGAATCTAACATACCTTTATATGCAATTCTGTACTGTCCACCTTTTCGGACAAGGGCTGGACGCCCCATCTGATAGCCCCTGTGAATTTTTCCATCCTCCCCAATTTCAGGGAACTCGACCATTTGAAACGTATCTTGTGTTTTCATCGTCTTTTTAAAAGTATTATCACAGATTTTGGAATTTAATAACTTCAAAGGTATAAGTCAAGGGAAAGTAATGTCTCCCTGTTTGTTTCCGACAAATATTAAAACATCATGCTTTAACAATGTTTTTATCAAAATATGATATTATTATCAAAATGAACAAGTTACTCGTTCCTTAGTTCAGTTTGAAATGAATGAAATTTTAATTTTCCTGAAGTTAAATTAGAGGATAGGGGTATAAATACTCTGAAATTCAAGGGCCATTAATCTTGCATTTGATATATTGACATGTTTGATCTACGTCGAATTTGTAGCTCTGTCAACTGTTTCATGTTCGAGGGACAACAAAAAAACTTGAATCAATCACTGGCAAATGTTGATAATTGTCAGCAAATAAGAATGTAATAATGATGAAACTGTCAGGTATTGTTGTACCTATCAATCACGTGGACTCCTCGCGACACATTTCGCGCTGTTATACACTAACGCATACAAGACACACAGCATACCGTCACAATACGACATGCATGAAAAGTGAAACAATTGACAAGCATAATGTTCTTTAATGATTACTTAACACGTTTGCAAATATTTTAAGCCCCGGAGACAAAAGTTAAAAAATACAAATCTGTTGAAAAAAAAAGTCTGATGACTTTGACATGAGTCATGTAAACTTATGGCAGACAGCAACATTTCTGTTATCAGGTGTTCAATCTCCCGTATATGTATATACAAAGTGATAGATATGCTTTGATAAAAAAGTCATGTTTTTAACTGTAAAATACTGGCTTACACATTTATCATGCCGCAGTTTGAAAATTATATGATATAGATATGTAATCGGTTATTATTATGAAACTGTAATGTTTTTTCCAGCCTTTTCATCCTCGATATGGAATTGAATTTGTATTTTAACATCATAATGTGTATAGCTCCATGCCGTTCCAAACTGACAAAATTTCCTCTCTAGAATACAATCAAAAAGATCTGGAAATAAAGGGCCTAAACTGTTTAAGCACCTATCTATTTTACATATGCATGCAGTAATAGCATTTTAAGCTTTTAACAATGATCACATTTGTATAGATCTGTATCTACACTGTATAGCATTTAAAATGTATTGTTTAAACATAGAAAAGATCTCATTTCTATTTATTTACTTCTTGGGAAAAATTGAAATATCATTACAAAACAATTGTATACAGTGTATAAAAATTATCTGATTTCTTTATTGTGGTTTGTTGTTTAAAAATATACGAAAACCAGTATTTAAGGTTCGTATTATAAGATCGGAGATTACACAAAATATACAACAAATGTTCTATTTCATTTTTGCTATTTTATGCGCTATGTACGTGAGGCGAATTGCTGTGTTTTTGCTTGTTTTCACCAAAATAATGTGTGTGATGATTTGTGATTGATAACCTTACAATCTGGACACTTTTGTGAACGAAATATCTAAAAAAAAATTTAATCAGAGATTTATAACTTTACAGACTGTTTTTATTCAACTGAAACGTAACTATTGCATATATTCCTGGCCTTCCAACATTAAAGCATAATAAAAGATGTTTCAGCTGTAAAAAATGCCCTGTTCTTCACTTCAGTGTTTTATTTTTTTTCCTAGTCATTCGTGATCATTGATTCCAGCACATTTAGTGTTGAAAATTGAATACTGCTTATACCGGTGCTAGAGAGCATGGTGTTGTACATTTTCATTATCTCTCATAAAAAGCCGAATCTTCAATTTTTCATGTAAATGTTGTTGTTTTTATTGCCTGCGACGGATTTTCCAATTTCAGATTTCCATCTCTATGAATACATCATGAATGGTATTCTTAACGTTTGACATTTGTAACATCTTATTCAATCATGAAAAACTAATTTTACAAAGTCTATGCATGTTTCTATAGAAAGATCTTAATGAATGCAAATAGTATTTTCTTTCTGTGTAAATACATATTTGCTTTATAAATTTACTTGAATTTTTGAAAAGTTTTATTTTCTAATTTATTCTGGTTATATTATATCACCCTCTCGAATGTTTTATTCGTACGCGTTGAAAGATTATATATGCACTACGGTATTGTTTGATAAATCATTTTCGCTGATTATATTTGTATGCTAAGTTACCAAATATATGGAATAAAGTTATATTATGTATACTTAATGAGATTATATTTCTTTGTGCGAATATTTAGTAAGGTAAATTATAAATACATAAATATAGTTTCTATTTCTTTGTACGAATATTTAGTAAAATAAAATAGGGGATACATTTATAACGTTTATACTTGGGTTTAAAAAATCTGGTTCAAATTTGAGACACAGTGGCTTATAAGCAGTCCAACATTAAAAGATGAAATTTCCTGTAACAAACATAACAAACAAAGTCTATCTGCAATTTTCATAAAATGGAGTAAAAATACATAAAAACAAGTACTTTAAATAAAGCAAGAAAACTTTGCTTAAGTTTCTTATTCTGCAGTTGATATACCTAGGCCATTAAGAACTTATTTTTACATAAAAAAAAAGAAGAAAAAAAAAATTCTCATTTTCGGAGGATTTATCTATCAACTCTAATTGAGTTGAAGATCTTGTTTTTCTGTTGGGCTTACATTGTTTTTTATAGCTAGATTAAGGAATTAAAATTTTGTGTCGTAGACAACAAACTTCAGGTTTATATGAATTGAGCTATTGAAATATATTCATTTGTTACCTATTTTGACATCTACTCGCGCTCTGTAACTTGCAAACCAGCCATATACATGTACACGTCTTTTCGGTTGGAATTTGTTTTCAAAACAGAGGTTCATTACAATTTTGTTCACGTCGCGTACAGCTTTATGGTCCCTTTTGAATGGCTGTGGTCGCCGTTCTTTGTGCATCTTATTTTATTATCATTATATATTTCGAAGACTTTTTATTCATCATCATGCAATAGATAAGAAAATATGCAGCAAAAACAAATTTACTTTAGAATCGCAGACCAAGGCGTTTGATACTGCTGCGAAATTATTATAGATTGTCCATTGATTCATTGTCGTTTTTACATTACAAATGGTATTTTTCTTCTTTATCTTCATTTGTAAATTATAATGGACATTTCTCATTGTTCTGAATGTCCGTTTTCTGCTGCATATTCCGCTCAAATAAAAAAAACATTTGCTGTAAATGTATAGACTTTCAAAGCATAAGTATTACATCTTAAAAACACATTTCTAACCAAATTTTACGTGTAGAGTCATTTCTTAAATCATATTGTATAGTGTGTACTGGATATTATTTTAGTTGGGTTGATATTAAGAGTTTTATTTGAAGATTAAATATCTTTATTTTGTGCAAGATTTCTCGGCATGAAAAGATTTCATTTTGCCTCAGATAAGCAACTTTCAGCATATAGTATATTTTTAACTGTAATTATAAAAATGATATGGATTGAAAACAAATGATAAATATAACAAAATATTAATCAATATCATAATTTATATCTATTTGTCAGACTGATTTCTGAAGCATGTGGAAGTGAATTCTAATTTACTTCGTCCTGCAACTACATGTACCATAGTATAATCTTGTACAAGTTTGGTACTTTCATTAATAATTATATTAATCAAGCATTATCAGGCAATGCCTTGGAGTTTGATATGAATAGAATAAAATAGTAACTATTATGGTTTTCCCTAACAATTATCATGTGTGTTTCGCGATAAATCACTGTTTCCTGCACATCGCATACTCTTTTCAGATTTACAGACCAAATACTAAAAAAACATGGTCTAATTTTTTGTCATTTATATTTGTACATATATGGATAACTGATATTGTTTTATCATACTCAAGTATATGTCGTTTGAAGATTATATACATGTATACTATACTGTCCAGATGTCACATCAATTTTTGCGATCTATTAATCAAGTGCCCGAGTTTGCTTCCTGGAACTAATCAGTACTGGAATTATTCAAAGAAATATAGTCTTGACCAGAGAAAGGTTTCAACCAACAATCCCTGGGTTAAGCGGCGGACACCTTTATAAGTCCGTCACAGCTCTTTAAAGGAACTCCATTGAGGCCTTAAAGCCTGAAAAATCAAATTTCTTACATAGAGTACATGAGGCCAGACATTATTTTCCTTTCTTTTGTTTTTATTATGTACTTTTCAAATGTTGATGACAATAAAATAAATCTAAACCAGTATGAAAGCAACATGATTCGTTTACATTTATATTAAATGCATGACTTACACATATATTGCTACTTATATCGATTTAGTGTATTAAAATAAAATTACAGGCTTTCCAGCAGCATATACCAAAATGTAGGAAAAGGGTAGGAGTGGGTGTAAAAAGTAGGAAAAAGTAGGAGTTTTTTTTTGTTGAAGAAATAGGAACTCTTAAACACGCTTAATGATATATGAATTTTCTATTTTAAAATGTAAAATTATATAAGAAAAATAATAACATATTTCAACATGTTTCTAATAGCCTACTGGTATTTCCACATTTATGCAGTGCTATGGAAACAGTCTTTACTTGTCCACTATTTGATTTTATACTTCAAGGCATGTTTTTTGGATTACTTAGCTGCAAGGTGGTTTTGCTGTCACTCATTAGACTGTTAGGCACAGATCAACCTGATTTTTTTTATTTAAGGAATGAACACAACAACAAAAATACAATACACAACAGTAAATACTATTAATTTAAATCTTTCAACAAAAAAATGACAACAATGTACATGTATTAGAAAAATGTCAATAAATAATGAAAATCTGACTGAATAGGAAATTCCATCTGAAATATAACTTTCCTAAAATGAAAAACATATATTATGGGTTATCATGATTTCTAAGGAACTTAAATGAGGATTTTAACAAACATATATCATTATGATACAAGAGGAAGCTTCTACTAAGGAATACTTATATATTTCTCAGTAAACCACTAGAAAAGCTCAACATTAATGCATACACACAGAACCATCACCATGTATACATACAGAACCATTATCATGTATACATACAGAACCATTACCGTGCATACATACAGGACCATTACCATGCATACATACAGAACCATTACCATGCATAAATACAGAATCATTACCATGCAGAACCATCACCATGAATACATACAGAACCATCACCATGCATACATACAGAACCATTACCATGCATACATGCAGAACAATTACCATGCATACATGCAGAACCATCACCATGCATACATACAGAATCATCATCATGCAGAACCATTACCATGCATATATACAGAACCATAACCATGCATACATACAGAACCATCACCATGCATGCATGCAGAACCATTACCATGCACACAGAACCATCACCATGCATACATGCAGAACCATCACCATGCATACATATAGAACCATCACCATGCATACATACAGAACCATCACCATGCATACAGAAACATCACCATCTTTACCATAAAAGAAACAACACCATGCATACATACAGAACAATAACTATGCATACATGCAGAACCATCGCCATGCATGCATACCAGAACCATCACCATGCATACATGCAGAACCATCACCATGCATACATACAGAACCATCACCATGCATGCAGAACCATTACCATGCATACAGAACCATCACCATGCATACATGCAGAACCATTACCATGCATACATGCAGAACAATTAACATGAATACATGCAGAACCATCACCATGCATACATACAGAACCATTACCATGCATGCAGAATCATCACCATGCATACATAGAGAACCATCACCATGCATACATACAGAACCATCACCATGCATGCAGAACCATTACCATGCATACAGAACCATCACCATGCATTCATGCAGAACCATTACCATGCATACATGCAGAACAATTAACATGCATACATGCAGAACCATCACCATGCATACATACAGTACCATCACCATGCATGCAGAACCATTACCATGCATACAGAACCATCACCATGCTTACATACAGAACCATCACCATGCATGCAGAACCATTACCATGCACACAGAACCATCACCATGCATACATGCAGAACCATCATCATGCATACATATAGAACCATCACCATGCATACATACAGGAACCATCACCATGCATACAGACCCATCACCATCTTTACATAAAGAAACAACACCATGCATACATACAGAACAATAACCATGCATACATGCAGAACCATGCATGCATACGGAACCATTAACATGCATACATGGAGAACCATTAACATGCATACATGCAGAACCATCACCATGCACATATGCAGAACCATTACCATGCATACAGAACCATCACCATGCATACATACAAAACCATCACCACCCATACATATAGAACCATCACTATGCATACATGCAGAACCATGCATGCATACGGAACCATTAACATGCATACCTGGAGAACAATTAACATGCATACATGCAGAACCATCACCATGCACATATGCAGAACCATCACCATGCATACATACAAAACCATCACCACCCATACATATAGAACCATCACCATGCATACACACAGAACAATCACCATGCATACACACAGAACCAATCACAATGCATACATACAAAACCATCATCATGCATACATACAGAACCATCACCATGCAAACAGAACCATCACCATCAATACATAAAGAAACAACACCATGCATACATACAGAACAATAACCATGCATACATGCAAAACCATCACCATGCATGCATCCAGAACCAAACCATTACCATGTACACTAACAGAACCATTACCATGCATACATGCAGAACCATTACCATGCATACATGCAGAACCATCACCATGCACACAAACAGAATCATTACCATGCATTCATACAGAACCATTACCATGTACACTTACAGAACCATTACCATGTATACATACAGAACCATCACCATGCATACATGCAGAACCATTATCATGTATACATACAGAACCATCACCATGCATACATGCAGAACCATCACCATGCATACATACAGAACCATTACCATGCATACATACAGAACCATTACCATGCATACATACAGAACCATTACCATGCATACATACAGAACCATTACCATGCATACATACAGAACCATCACCATGCATACATGCAGAACCATCACCATGCATACATACAAAACCATTACCATGCACACTCAAAGGACCATCACCATGCATACATGCAGAACCATCACCATGCATACAGAACCATTACCATATATACATATAGAACCATCACCATGCATACATACAAATCCATCACCATGCATACAGAACCATCACTATCTATACATATCGAACCAACACCATGCATACAAACAGAACATTCACCATGCATACATACAGAACCATTACCATGCATACATACAGAACCATTACCATGTATAGATACAGAACCATGACCATGCATACATACAGAACCATCACCATGCATACATACAGAACCATCACCATGCATACATACAGAACCATTACCATGCATACATACAGAACCATTACCATGCATACATACAGAACCATTACCATGCATACATGCAGAACCATCACCATCCATACATACAGAACCATTACCATGCATACATACAGAACCATCACCATGCATACATGCAGAACCATCACCATGCATACATACAAAACCATTACCATGCACACTCAAAGGACCATCACCATGCATACATGCAGAACCATCACCATGCATACAGAACCATTACCATATATACATATAGAACCATCACCATGCATACATACAAATCCATCACCATGCATACAGAACCATCACTATCTATACATATCGAACCAACACCATGCATACAAACAGAACATTCACCATGGATACATACAGAACCATTACCATGCATACATACAGAACCATCACCATGCATACACACAGAACCATCACCATCCATACAAATAGAACCATCACCATGCATACAAACAGAACCATCACCATGCATACAAACAGAACCATCACCATGCATACATACAAAACCATCACCATGCATACAAACAGAACCATCACCATGCATACATACAAAACCATCACCACTCATACAAACAGAACCATCGCCATGCATAAATACAAAACCATCACCACCCACACATATAGAACCATCACCATGCATACACACAGAACCATCACCATGCATACACACAGAACCCATCACCGTGCATACACACAGAACCATCACCATGCATACATATAGAACCATCCCCATGCACACACACATAACCACCACCATCCATAAATTGAGAACCATCACCATGCATACATACAGAACCATGACCATGGATACATACAGAACCATCACCATCCATACATATAGAACCATCACCATGCATACATGCAGAATCATCACCATGCATAGATACAAAACCATAACCATGCACACACATATAACCACCACCATCCATAAATTTAGAACCATCACCATGCATATACACAGAACCCATCACCATGCATACACACAGAACCATCACCATGCATACATATAGAAACATCACCATGAATACATGCTGAACCATCACCATGCATACATTCAGAACCATCACCATGCATACATGCAAAACCATCACCATGCATAAATACAAAACCATCACCATGCACACACACATAACCACCACCATCCATAAATTTAGAACCATCACCATGCATACATACAGAACCATGACCATGTATACATACAGAACCATTACCATCCATACACACAGAACCATCACCATGCATACATATAGAACCATCACCATGCATACACACAGAACCATCACTATCATACATATAGAGCTATCACCATGCATACATGCAGAACCATCACCATGCATAGATACAAAACCATAACCATGCACACACACATAACCACCACCATTTATAAATTTAGAACCATCACCATGCATACATGCAGAACCATATCCATGCATACATACAGAACCATGACCATGCATACATACAGAACCATTACCATCCATACACACAGAACCATCACCATGCATACAAACAGAACCATCACCATGCATACACAAAGAACCATTACCACTGTACAGATACATCTGTACGTGTCTATTTTTGTCCTGTTTTGCCTTACTTATGTAGGAATAAATGAAAATATCATTGTTATTCTGGTATGTTCCGTGAATTTTACAATTATATATTATGCTCAAATTTGATATATGAAAATATTTAAAAGAGCTACACAGTCCCTTTGTAAAGGTAAAACAAACATCTTTTGAGTATACATAGAGTATGTATTTAATATAACATTTTAAACCCACACACAACAGATGAACAAGTAGAATAATAAAAAAAACTGGCAGATTACTTTACTAGTAATTGGGAATACACAGTTTCATATGTTGAGAATAAAGTTGAGAAGATTTTATATCAGACTGGATGTCTGAACTATGCACCAGTGTCAAGGGGCCATCAGAACATACATCTGTCAGCTAATACTCCTGCTACTATGTCTACTATGTCTGCAAGAGTATCTCAACATAAAGCATTTATAAACTAATAGATGATATGTGACATAGTACCTACCCTGAGAACAAAAAAGTAGGAATAGTAGGAACCTTTTTTTAAAAAAAAGGATAAAGTAGGAGCCATTTCAAAAAAAGTAGGGAAAATTAGGAAAAGTAGGAACGCTGGAAAGCCTGAAATTATTTAACAGTATTCACCCTTTTCAGTTTAATTTGTCTTCGACGGAAATGCAAGAACGATCATTCGAATTTCAAATGTACAATACATTGTATATAGACCAGTGTCCTGCATTTTTGAACAGCATTTCGTCGTGTGAGAGGAGCATTGCTTTATCTACTTTTTATTCAAATGTTGCGTAAATCGAAATTGTTTTGTTCTATTTATTTTGTATGTTTCAAATCTTGCAAGGAAAAGAAATTCTTTTGTTTTATTTGTTTTGCATGTTCGTGTGTTTTGCTTTTGAGGTAGATCATATGATTTGTTTTTCTTCGATTTTTGTAATTATATACTACTTTATCTGCACTTTTAATCAATAGGACATGAAGGGGAAGATAGAACACTGCAAACTTTTACATTACAGGTCTTTCTAGCATTTTAATTACTTGTAAGCAGCAATCACATGATGTCTTTTGGAAGCATGATTGGTCAGAATGATATGAATATCTGTTAGTCATAAATAGTGTGAAGCAGGAGCGAAAGACATTCTAAGATAGATTAAACACAAATCGTGTATTAATAAGTTACTTTATAATCAAACATCTTTTACAGACATTTTGTACTATAGTTTATTTTATTGTAACTTTCAATATCGCGTATCGCATAAATTTTATAAACGTGTTTTCTTAATGAGTAATTACATCTACATCTCTGATAAAACGTTCATTTTTGCGACTAAACACAATTAAGCCCTGATTCGTTATTATTTTACCAAATAAAAATACATTTAAATATCTCAAACCTTAATTAATTTTCCGGCTCTGATACAAAACATATTAGTACCATACATGTATAGTAATCACGTAATTGTTAATTAATGGTCAATGTTTATAATGAAAAGGTGTAGCCATTAAATTCACAAAGCACCTTTATTGAGCTTTTAATACATCGCAATTGATAGAAAAACTATAAAAGTTTTCTGACAAAAAGGTGAAAATACAGAAAATTAAAACAAAAGATTGTTATCTTAATTGTTTGAAAAGCAATAAAAAATAAATAAATATATGTTAAGAAAAACCGTATTATGTTTTATAATACATTTTCTTTGTATAGTGCAAGTGGATTGTTTCAAAATAGATGGGTATATTATACAGAACAATTACTTTACAGAAGTAACAATAGCTAATATAATCAGAAATCGATCTTCGGTGATCGATTTGTCAAAAAATAAAACTTTACAATTGTCGTCTGTTTCGAAAATTTTCTGTCGTCTGTCAAATTCGGTGTCGTATGTCACAAATGACGTGAGCTTGATTACTTTACAAATTTTACCGTTAATGATGATATTGACACATTCGATACACACATCAATTTAAAAAAATATTGACTTTGAAAGTGATATATTTGACAAGCGTCTAATTCCAGATCTGGTGACATTGTCTTCAGGCGGCCAACCCCTTCTCTCTGCGCCAACCATTTCAAGTCACGTGACCCTTATAAATGAAAGACTTTTTCATGAATTATCATTAAACTTTATTTCAGTATCTTCTGTTCACTTGAGAAGGTGAATAATAATAATAATTATTATTAAAGTTAAATAAATTAAAAACATTTTTTTAAAAGAAATGAATTAAAAATTCGTGAAATATTGAGTGAACACAGGACTTTCTTCGTTTAAGATTTAATTTAAATTTTCAATTTTCAACGATCGTAAAAACACTAGTTATCTTGGTAATTGAAGATGCCGAACACTAAAGAAGTACCGGAAGTTGGAAATATTTACCTCTATGAGGACCATGTACCGAGAAAATCAAGATGGAGCAAAATCCCATTCATCGGCTACTTCCGGTAAGATTTTTACTTTTTTCCTTAGTATTTTTGTCGTCTGCTATTTCTGTGAAATGGTATAATTATCACAATTTAATTTCAAAAAATCAAATATAAAAAACAACATTTGTGAACATATTTTACGAGAAGTTGAAATTCTGGCGCTATTCTTAATTTGCACATTAAAGATTTCTTTTAGAACAAGCGAAATTTCATTTCATTATATGAGGAAATGTCGATATGCAAGTCTTCATTTCCCTGCTAGCAAATATTTGAGAAAACAAAATACATCGCACATTTTCAGATACAGTTCTTATAAAATATAACAGTTCATATAAAGTAAGGAAAATCAACAAGTGAAAATGTCTTTTTACACATATATGTTGAGATATACATAAAGTTAGAATAAATATTTCTAGCGTTAACTGATAACTTAAATGAAATTTGAAAATGAAATATATATTAATTATATCACTATTAGAAACTGTGATTAAAGTTCTTTTTAATCATTTCAGAAGCTTATTTATCTTGTTCAATACATAATTGTTCTCTATTTTATTTTATAGACAAAAGTTGAAAATGGATGAAAAAGAATTAGAAGATAAGCGGCAAGCTATTATGAAGAAGAATGGAAAGTACAGAGTTAGGTAGGTTTCATAATGCATACTTGTTGACATTCGTTGCTTCGATTTTTGCCATTTATTTCTTTGCATTTTCTACAAATATGATATATTACAATGTACAATCATGTACATAATTTAATATTGTGAATTAATATCAAGATTTCTTTCAAGTAAGTAATTCTCACTAACACAAAAAAAAATAATATAAAAACATGAAGTTATAAAAGAATTTTTTTCTCAAATGGGCAGATCAGCGGTTTTTACGCAAATATGCCCAAATAAGATGATATTGTTGTGAAATTTATTTGAAATTCTTTAAAAAAAATTTAAATATTTTTTTTCAGGTACGCGGGTCTAAATGGCTACAAACGGAAATACCTTAATGACCTTTACATTAGTATGATTGACCTAAAATGGCGGTACGCATTCGCTCTGTTCTTCAACATGTATCTATTATCTTTCCTCTTTTTCGGAATTATGTGGTGGATTATTGCCTACAACCACGGGGACTTCGATCACGTTAATGACCCGGCTTGGGAGCCGTGCGTAAGCAGCGTTTATAGTTTTCCAAAATGTCTTCTGTTCTCTATCGAAACGCAGACGACAATCGGATACGGCGTGGCGTACCCAAATACGGATTGTGATGGAACATTATTTATGGTTTACATGCAAATTACAATAGGTATATTGATTGACAACTTATTACTTGGGTTTATGTTTGTAAAATTTGCCCAGCCAAAGAAACGCCAAAAGACCATCTTATTCAGCAAGAACGCTTGCATAACGCACAGTGACGGGGATCTTGCCATACAAATCCGAGTCGGTGATCTACGAAAGAGCCATTTATTAGCAGCCCAAGTTCACGGTGTTCTCGTGAGACGTCATGTGACCGACGAAGGCGTTCTTCATCCGTTATATATGAGTAAAGTTGAGTTTAAAGCAGACGCTATGGAGGATACATTAGTTCTGATGTGGCCGATGGTACTTACTCATAAAATCACAGAAGATAGTCCGTTCTATGATATAAAGCCAGCCGATTTAACCAATGAGAAATACGAATTAATCGTCTTTATTGAAGGCACGATCGAAACCACGGGTGAATTCTGCCAAGTCCGAACCTCATACACCCCAAGGGAGTTCTTGTGGGGACATCGATTCGACAGGATAGAAGAATTCGATTCCGGAAATGGGCGATGGGAAATCGATTTCGCAGCTTTCAATGATGTAGTCTACACAAACAATATACGTCACAGTGCACGTGAACTTTGTAGCTTCCGCAGACGAAAAGTAGTTCCTACTTTAGACAAACAAGATGAACACATGGAAAAGGTTCCCCCAATACAAACGAAGAATCTCAAAACTGTTTCATATGGTGTCGGTCCGGAACTTCCGGTGAGAAATTACGAGAAGCGCGAATTAAGCTTTGGAAATCCTCAAAACGAGACTGGCTACCGATCAAATGACGAAGAATCAGACGACACTGTGATAGAGAAGAGACCTCGACGATCTGATAGCGTGGTATCCTTCGAAACTGCTGCAGACACAGCGTCATTAAACGGACACAACATTTGGTAAGAACAAATTTCAGTATATCTTTGCAAACAAACGTAAATTAATAATTAATAGATAAGTAGATTCAATGCGACTTGATCATTGTAAATTATTATTGTAACGATTGATTCCAACTGGTTTATATGAGTTTAAGCACGAAAACATCAAGGCTATATTTGACACGACAGGCCGATTGTTCGCGTCTTACCCCGATCGTTTAGGCTTTGAAATAAAACCGAGACGAGCAAATACCATAAACTTACTTGATAAATACAGATATACGAACATTCTGAAATTACCTATTTTATACGATCTTCCGATAAATTTACTTAAATGGTAATTTTATGTAGACCGTTTTAAATGTGGACCGATTTAAATAACATAAGTTAGCGTCTTCAAATCACAGTATCTCCAACATTAAGTTTCATAACCATTTATGACTGCAATTTATATGAATTGATTTGTTTTTCTTCAGAAGTCCAGATTCCATGACCTGGCTGGTATCATCCAACCGACAGATGCAATTCTAGTGGTCAGTAAATATGAAAACCAGTGGCCAAATACCTTCTGCTGACAAGAACACATCTTCCAATACAAACATATGGCGAATTCTCCAGTAAAGGACTGTCCCAAATAATTAATATTTAAGATCTATTTTCGCTAATAATTATTAACAAGTTAATAAGACAATAGGATATTTTAAAATGAGGATTTTTCTCTGAATTGTAGCAATTCATTCTTAGTATAATTTTCCAAAAAATTAATAAATTTTTATTTTTAAATATTTGGTAAGTTAAAAGACTTATACCAGGAGAACACAAAATATACAGTTAATCTACAATAGTATAACTATGCAGTGGCTGCGCTTTATACGGCATATGTGTAAAGAATATGTATATAACTGATTGCATATGTGTAAAAAAATATGTAAATTACGGATGTGTAAATATCAACTTTATGTAAATCTTAAAAATAAAAAAAAAATAAAAACATATTTCGGAAAGTAAGTTTCAATAAATCTTTCAGTTTCAAATTCTTCAATGTTTGTCAATTTTTTATTTCACAAATATGTAATACTATAAATACATGTATTTTTATAATTTTGTGCCAAGATTGATTTAATTAATTCAGCAAAATAACTTTATTTAAAAAAGGTGTTTTTTTTTTCCTCTTTTTGTTTTCAAAAATAAACTTTAATAGTTACTTTCATTATTTTATTAAAGTTAAAGTTTAGAAGGAACTTATCTCCGATTTTACTTGTTTCAAAACATTGTAAACACTTGTATATTTGATAAAATTTCATGATGTATTTGTGAACCTTTAAAATTTGTCAAATTCTTCATATTAATTGTAAAAGATATTGTTAAATATTATTATAGATTTTTTGTAACATAATTTGACATTGATTATTGTAACATGATGATTATTGTAACATGACATTGATTATTCACTATTGTAACATAACATTGGTAACTGTAACATGATATAATGCATTTAACATGATCATGTATCTGGGACTAAAAACATACAGTACATTGTAATTAAATGGTTAATACCAAAGAAGGGACATATAACATACATTTGTAACAATAATTCTTCTTTTTTTTTAAAAACTTGGGACTTAAAACTTGGCTTGTTTCACATGTTGTACTAAAATTTGCTTTATGGAGTTTGTGGTGGAAGGATTTGTTGAAATTTATTTCTTGTAAATAGACACAAAAAGAATAAATAAATTTGTTCATAACATTTTATTGTTTTTCTTGTTCTGTGTATTAAAGAACACTCTTTTCATTCAAAGAATGCTTAAAACAAAAGGATTCATATTATCTTCATGAAAAATAAATCAACAACAAACAAGAGCAAACAGAAGTTCTACATTAAACATAAAAAAGGTTAAACAAATTTTTAATGAATGCATTACATTTAAAATAATGGCATCTCTACTGTATATCCATGCTGTCAGAAAAGGACCTATATCATAAAATTGTTCAAAATTAACCTACTAAATCTAATAGTCCCTTTAATTAATTGACATACAGTTAAAGGCAATATTATCTGAAAAAGATTTCATTGACTACCGTAAAATTCCTAATAAACGCCCCTTCCCTAATAAAGGCTCCCTAGGCCTTTTGATATGGAAAACAATCTACTCATCAGTGCTGAACTCATAATTAAATCCATAATTTTATTCAAATCATTCAGAATCCATAGTATTTTATAGTAAACAACAATATGTATAATATTAACTTTAAAACCTTAACACTTTTTAGTGTTATTACCAACACTTGCTAACACTAAATGAATTAACAGTGATTTTTGGAGTTAGGAAAAACTGTGTTGTAATAAAAGCCCCCCTTTTGGAAAATGTTTAGCCCCGGGGGCGTTTAATAGGAATTTTACGGTATATGAATAAAAAATCTATACCAAAGGTTCAGAATAAGTGATGTGGTTTAATAGGGTTTTTAAGTCACGCCAATGCTGTAAAGGTTGTATGGCAAGCTTCCAGCTTCATTGGTGACCATGGATAAATACCTAAGACTCTCCTCTGTGCATCATTTTAGATGTGAGCCAGCACCTTAGTAAAACCACCAATGTTCTATAAAAGCTAGCTGGGTAGCTTGAAAGAATTTAAAAGTCCCCAGTGGGATTTGAACCAACCTTTGTGAAGGTTTAAGTGGTTTTGAAGTCAATAATCATAAACCCATAGGCTAGGTACACCCCTGTTGACCTCACAATCTAAGCATTTTTGTTAATTTTTCTTGAATCCACTCAATGGCCAAAGGTCAAAGCATCTCAAATACATAAAATGAAGCAGCTTCTCATTGGAAGAAAAGAAAGCATTACAATATAAAAACAAGAGCACTGCTTGTTAGAGCATCATACTTCCAAAATATGTGCTGTTTAAGGTTTTCAAGACAAGAATTTTACACAAGTGTCACTGTGACATTTGGCCTTAAAATCAACATAGGGATTATCAACCTCCCATTAGCAATGTTCCTACCAACTTTCACAAACCTAAGCATATTCCTTCCCATATCATTTATTATTGAGTGTACAAGGACTTTCCATTAAATATCACTATGACCTTGACCTTTTGAACGAATGACCTTGAAATCAAAATGTGTCATCTACAGGTCATGACCAGTCTCCATACTAAGTATGAAGACAGCACACCCTCTAGTTATGAAGCTACTGAATGAACATCAATGTGGCATACGGACAAATGGACAAGCAGCATATAACCTAATTTACCTTCGGACTAATAATCACCAAAAAATTCCTTTCTATCTTTTTATATACACTGCTACGTCTCATACAAAAATTTATAAGAATAAACATACATGTACTAGAATATTAACATTTTGTTCAAATTAAATTGAATGAACACAATTTCTTGTCCTAAATCAAAGATGTACAAAACAATAGATAGAAAAAATATTGGTAAGAAAAAAAAAACAATATACACTCTAAAATACAATAAACTGCTCTTAAATTGAACCAAGTTCATATATTGCACTTGAAATTTCTCAACACATTTTTAGCAGTCACATATGTTATACATGTCATACAATCAATTCAATTATTTGACATTTTTCATAATCGGCTTCTTATCATCTACTTTTCATAATAAAATGCACATTTTCATAATAAAATATTTATTTTCATCATCAAATTCACATTTCATTATCAACTTCACCTTTCCCTTACCAGATTTACATTCTCAAGAAACAAATTCACATTTTCAAACTTAACTTGACATTTTCATTTTTCATAATCAAGTTCACATTTTCATACAATAAAATTATTACCTTGAGCATTCAATATAAGTCTTGTTAAAAAACTTTATTCGTTGACCAATAAATAGAGTGGACTTGTTTTCATTATATAGTGAAAATGATAGAATATTGATTTTAAACTGACAAGTGTGTCGGCTATTCTTGATCTGCACTGGTCGCATGGGAAGTTTCTGTAGCTGCCAGCAGTCTAAAAGTTAATCAATATAGGGGCTAGCAGGTTAATTAATATAATGAACAATCAATAACGGAGATTTAATCAACCGATAATGTGGACTTGATCAAATCAAGGAAGGAAAGAAGGAATACATGTATTTCACAACCATTTCATTTAACTAAGAAAATACCTATCCCTTGATACTAAAACCCAAACCTTAACTCACTATCAACATTTTAGTTCAATTGCATCATTGGTTATCCATGGTATATATTCCGTACATACTACATTATCTAGTTCAATCAATTACAGTGCAACCTCTGTAACGTGGCCTTCTGTAGAGTATTACGTCCACCAACCCACTGATATTGAAACCCTGGCCTTATAATTACCACTATTTTAGCATCAGATAGCTAATCCATTGATAGATCCCGTCTCTGACCTTTTATTCAAATAACAATAGATTAAACCACTAACATTGACATGTGCTCTTTTGTTAACAAATAGGTTGTGGTGAAGTTCATATTGTATACACTTCTCTGATAATTAGAACTAAACAGGTCAGAGATCTATGCATTAGATTTTTGTTACAACTTAATTTACAGCACCATAATACAATATATATCAAACAGTGTGGTTATCTTAAAAATGCTGTAAGTAAAAGGTTAATATCATTGAAATATATTTCATATCAAATCTTAAAATGAACTATTTTTTGTTTTCAGTCTGTAACACAAATTCAAGGGACGTCATTCATGGAAAATATCTATTTGTTCTCCATCTGTCCTCATTATTGAGCTTCTAAAAGTAAGAGTATATATTCTGATTGTCCAATCTTCAAGGATATCACTAGTTCCCTTTGGGTTAAAATAAATTAATATTACACTAAAATGTCACTTCTGTTAACACAGGAACAATTAGGGAACTATTTTTTCTTGTCCTCTTTACATATAATAACGTATCTTTGAGCAACCATCAATGGCGGCGAATAACCATTAGGATATGAAGTGTCCTCAAATAATACTGAATAATCATCTTGGGGCTGAAACAGATAACAAATAAACATAATTGCATATATATTCATTTAATTAATTTCAAGGAAATAATTACCAGTACAAGAAATTGGTCAAAGGGAAACAACCAATATCATTGAAGCAATACAAAATATATACAGCTCTATTAGACATGAGCAGCTACCTCAACAGAACTCTGCCGACTGGATAGCTCCCTCACATGAATGAATTCCCAAGGAGGATACGGCAGTGTGACTGATAATAATGCATAAATGTTTTTAATAAAGGAAAATAACTCTTACTCAAAATAGAGTCTAGAAAAAACTATATAACATTTCAAACAAATACCCAATGGTAAGCAATTTTGATCATGTGATGTCCATGTTTTCTCAATCAATATAGCCATTCTGTATTTCATAACATATCAAATGTTTTGATATAGAAATGTTTTGACATTACTAACCTACTAAAAAGACATCAATATACAATGATTTTGTCCTCTCTTTTTTACAACACATTATTGTGTTATAGTATAATGTGATAAAAGAACATTATGTTTCATAGTCATAAATAACTACATATAAAGTTTTGAACAATTAAAAAATAGAACTTCTAACAAATAAATTCATAGTTTTTTAACAAATAGTCATTATTATGCTTTGAATTTGATTGATGGTTTATAAATACACTTAATTGTTACCTTTTTCGGAGGTTCATGTATAAGAGCTCTGTAAAAACAAGTGGTTTGAGGATAAAGTGCTAGCACCAACTGAAAACAAAGTGAAGGTATAGTAAATATATATATAATTTGTATCAGGGTATCCTATGTGACTTTTGGAAAAAGTTCATGGAGGAAATTCCAAAAATAGATTCAGGAAAGATATATGGCATGCAAATACTTTTTTAATTCTGAACAGATTTTCTTGTTACAATTCCAAATTGCATAAACCTCTACATTAAAAGTCCTATCCTTGCCTATAACCAACTTTCTATTAGGTCTTTCTGGTTTTCCATTAATTTTTCCAAACTGATTCAGTCGATGAAAATTCATTTGGGAAAAAGACCTTTCTCAAATGAAATACTGCAAGTGACTTCCAACTTTTGACTACAGAAGATTCACACATCATGTTTACATCTTTTTAAAACAAATATTTAACATAAAGGAAAACAGATTAATATATATTGTAAAACTATTCAAATTTTCTTAATGTTTACGAAATAGAGATTGAGATAACCTCTCTCTCATCATAATAATAAAATAAACTTACAGTATGTTTGGGAAACAAAGCTTCAGGATCTGTCTCGGGTGAAGCTTTCCATATAGGAAGTGGAACTATCTTTCTTTTACTAAGTGTATGACGTCTGTAAATAGATATTCATCAATAATAAATTGAGATGTGTCAGTGCACGAGATTGTTATGCACCCATAAATTGAAACTTTGTCTCAGTTCACCTACCAATCCCTTGAGCAATGGTGCAGGCAGTGGAAAGAAAACTTTTGGGCAGGTTTAGTTCAATTTTTATGCTAAAATTTGCATGGGATTATCCAAAAATTTCTAACTCATTACATAGGGCAAAAGCAGGGCTTTTATCATCTGACTGTCACCCTTAGTCGAGCATTTACCAAGAGTTCGGTGATCTACAATTCAGTGCCTGCTTTTCCCCAAGGGTTGGGGGTTGGCCAGGATGCAAATGACAGTTGCACCTACAGTTGCTCATTATCAGGTTCTCCAAAACAGGACTACTAAAGTCACCAAAGGTTTTTTTGAGGTCTGTGCAAAAAGACACAAAATATTTGTTCTAAAAAACATCCAACATAAACACACCAAAGAACGGCTTAAATTTTAAAAGCAGAACCTGCTTATTAAAAAAAAACAGCAAACTATACGCTATATTAGTCTTATCAATTAGCTTAATTTCAAGAAAATAATCTTTTTTAATCAATTATCATGGAAACAATTTAATATGAAATTATCCACTAACTCTTTTCCTTCTTCCGCGTCTATATCATCCACCTCATATTTGTTTGTACTGGTATTATAAGAAACAACCTCAGCTAAAATCCAGTTCTCTTCTCCATCCGAGGATTTCACCCTTGCCGCCACCTTGTCCGTAGGCTTGGCGACATAGTTATTATCTGCGGCTACGGCCCCACAGAGAGGTGGTGGTCTGAAATATGGGGAAAACATTTTTGTTTACGTTAAATGAGCATAATACAATGAAATGTCTGACATATATCCAAGACATACTTAAATCATGTAGAGCCATTCTCATAATATTGCATGACAACACAATGTACTTGTTGTTTTTATTATATTTTACTTAATAACACTATTCTAGAAAGACATCTATATTAAGACAGTACTCAAACAGAACAAATAACCCATGTAAGTGGGCTTGTTTTCAGTAATAAATATTGAAGTTTCCTAATAATTTTTCATATAAGACAGACCATAACCCTGTCATATCAGTATATATAAATGCATAAAAAAGTGCACTTGATGATTTGAATTTGAATATTGTTTCAATTAATTAAGAGAAAAATGTCTAGAAGTTTAAGTTCAATAAATCACATAACAGGGATTGTGAAGTTGGGTGAAAACTTCGCACAAAATATTTACACTTCACCATCTTTGATCAGAAAAACTAAATTCTAGTCGCCCAAAAATCTATTAAAGTCTGACATGTATATTTCACTTGATCAGGAGTCAGATTTAATTGTGTAATTTGACGTAGACCAACATCGCTAAAAATAGCGGTTTGTTTTTTAGTGTTTTGAATTATCTAAATTTAAAGCTGTGAATGACCCTGCATATATTTTCTATTTACGAAAGTTCAAAGAAAAATATATGTATAAAATAAATATAATCATCGAAAAATTTATATTTCACAAGCAAGTAAAAAAAAATATATTAAGTTGTAAGGAAAATTACTTTTCTCCAGGTTTGCTGACCCACAGTGGTAGTGTGACAGCATTCTGTTGTAATAAACTCATTAAAACACCTCTCCTCATAATTGGCTTCGGACGATCTGAATCTGTGAATGAAAAAAACATGATTGATTGTCTGTATCTGAGTAGGTATGTGATACCAATTTGTTATAAATTTTTATTCAAATTATTGCTGGCAGTTTATCTAATAAAGTGTTCCGAAATTTCATTTTGAATCACTTAACTGTAATCATTATGCATGTAGGTTCAAATCCTGACTTTAACTCCTACCACCAGTATTAAGAGTCAATATAATGGCAACAAAAGCACAGACAGCCCAGATTGCTGTGGTTCTATCAACACATAAATGGGCATCTGGTGTATTTTTTTTTCAGGAACAAGACAGAAAATTTATAAAAGAGCTCCAGTTTCATTGACTTTATCACTAGCAATGGTTGGTTTTTCAGAAAAGAAATAACCGGAAAAAACCCTACTACCGAATCTACGATGTTCTCTTATGGCCTTTATTTCAGTTATTTTATCAAGAGCTTTTCGAAGCAACCTGAAAAGAGAATAAAGTTATTGTATTGAATCATTTAAAGCTCCTAGAGGTTTTTTTTGTTATCCAACATAATATCAACTTTATAAATTTTAATGTAAATTCAAATGATGTTCAATAAAGAGGAAAAAACATGAAACATGTCTAATTTTTTCCCAAATTACAACAAAAATATTAATTGCATTTACACAACATCCTTAGTGACTTTCTTCTATGTAAATTCCTATAAATTCTTAAAAACTTAAATTATAATTTCTTTGCAATTATTATCATTTAACATTTAATACCCGAGTAAAATGTGCAACAGAAATATTTGATATAACTGCGGTGTATTTATTGTATAGACAAAACCATAAACATAGCTATAATATGAGGAAACTCTTAAGTTTTTCAAAAATATCATCCCCAAAAAGAGGTCAAAGAAAGGTACGAACACACAAAATATTTGAAATATCAGTCAATAAATAATACAAGAGCTGTCGGTAGGACAGCAACGCTCGACTATTCTTAGTGCTTGATAGTAAATAAATGCTTGATACAGTCACCTCCTCCTGTTTACAGGTTGGGGTCATGATGGTGAACAAGTGTGCAAAGTTTCAAAGCCATATGTCAATGGACTTTGAAAATATTTGAACTATTACAAAAACTTTTACGTAAATTCTAAGTCAAAAAAGGGGCATAATTCTGTCAAAATGCTTGATACAGTTACCTCCTCCTGTTTACAGGTTGGGGTCATGATGGTAAACAAGTGTGCAAAGTTTCAAAGCCATATGTCAATGGACTTTGAAAATATTTGAACTATTACAAAAACTTTAACGTAAATTCTAAGTCAAACAAGAGCTGTCGGTAGGACAGCAACGCTTGACTATTCTTAGTGCTTGATAGTAAAAAAAATTCTTGATACAGTTACCTCCTCCTGTTTACAGGTTGGGCTCATGATGGTGAACAAGTGGTGCAAA